TCTGTCTCTGGTTAGGCCAGCCACTTACTATGCAGAAGAAAAGCTAGGGAAAAAAAGAGTGGAGAATCACTCCCAGACTCTCAAGCCCTTTAATTCTTTGGGAGAAGGTGGCAGTAGGCATGCAGTGCTCATTTGCCACAGCCTGTATTTTGTTGTAAACATTTGATAACTGGTTTAAGCAGAAATATTGGGCAATCACTCCTTGCTTTGTTTTAGGGACCAAAATTTTCTTTATTACAAGCAAGAAAAACTAGAAGAAACAGTGACTCCCACATAGAAACAGTAACGTGTCTATAAGGAAATGGTAACTCCACAATCTCAAATCAATATCTACTTCTACCTTATATGTTTTTAAATAGCACATATTTCTGTTTCTACTCATAAAAGTAGTGCTTCATATAATTATAAATAATAGAATATCAAAATTATCTTTAAAGAATAAATTATGAAAATAAAAATCACATTCATGGAACAAGGCTTTTATTTCTAAATCACAAAAGTTAGTATGTCTGCTTTCGCCTCTTTACTGTCTCTGGAAACTAAAAAACAAAAGCCTCATTCATCTCTAATTTCACCTTCTGAATTTATTTCTAGATACCTAGATCATGTGAATGGATTAGCAAGGTAATGTAACCCAGCCATTTGCCTTCATCTCTTACCGCACTGGAGGATAAAACCCAAGCTCCTTGTGTAGTATATAGGACTTCTCATTAGCTGGCCCCAGGCCACTTTCCAGCCTCATTTCTTACCACTTTCTTCCCTTACCCACTTAACTGGGAACTTACTGGAGAAAGGTCATGGGCTCATGTGTGTGTTCTAAAGGTCTAGACCTCTCTTAATCAATCAAATACTCCCGGGCTCATGTGTGTGTTCTAAAGGTCTAGACCTCTCTTACTCAATCAAATACTCCCGGGTCAGGGAATAGGAAGATGTCTAGACCTCCTTCTTTTGTACATGCCATAGGCTTGAGGGAATGGGTAAATGACCCTGCTGTGCTGGTTCACTACACACTGATAAGCTAGGAAGTGAATTCAGCTGGAGAGAGTAGGCTCGACTACTTTGGTCAACATGTGGAAATAAGAACCGTCCTCAAGTGTTGGGCAGTGCCACTAGTTTACAAATACTTTGATGAGAACATACCTGTTCTTCCTTCTGAAGAGTCTCTCCCAACTTGCAGCACTGGCTGGCCAAGGACTTGTAAAATTCTTTCATATCTAAAAGGTGACCTTTACATGCTCCCTAGTACTGTCTAGAGCTCCTCAATGACTGAGGTGGCTGTGGGCGAAACTGAAATTGCAGAGGAAGAATATGTCCTCATTGGAGGCTCACCAGAAGTCATTGCAAATGAATTCTACAACAGAATATTCAGTGTTCAACTTACCCTGACTATAGGAAGTCTAATATCAGAGCTACTCCTCCAATTCAGAATGTCCTTGTTCACCCATAAGACTGGGAATAGTGTCAGGAGGAGAGGTATATCTGCACTTGGAGTACATTTTTGAAAGCGTCCCCAGAAAGAGTCTTGTGCTGATGGCATAGTTAAGCTTCTTGATTGTGGTGGTGTTTACACAAAGCTATACGTGGGATAAAATTGCATAGAGCCCCCCAACACACACACACACACGCGCACATGTGAGTCCATGTGTAACTGGTGAAATGTGAATAAGGTCTATGGTTTATACCAATGCCAATTTCCTGTTGTTGGTTTTTTAAAATTGCTCTGTAGCTATGCAAGATGTTAACACTGTGGGAGGCTGGGTGAGGGGTGCATGGGAATCTTGCCATATATTTCTTTGCAAATTCCTGTGCATCTATAATTCAAAATAAAAAGTTTTAAAGGATGTGGGAGGGGACTTGGAGTATTAGAGCACTTGATCTAAAACAAGGCTTTGGGAATGGCCTTGAAACTAGAAGACCTTATGCAAAAACAGTACCTCTATGTTCAGGCCCAAAAATGTTCCTGAAGAAAAGGATGAAGTGGGGTAACTAGGTCGGCATATTCAAAATGGGTATAGATGATGTTAAGAGGGCCTTTAACGCCCTGGTGCTCTGTTAACATACAAGTGAATTCCCAGCTCCTTTTCTGGAGACCAATAGGTAAGGCAGACAGGCAAGCAGGTGAGCTGTCACAGTAGTCTTTGGAATAGGCCTGAAAGCTTGGGAAACTCTGACTGTCTTATGTACTTAATGACTGCCATTCTCAAATTATGTTAACCTTACTCAGCATCACTGACTTTAGCTGAATGCATTCATCCAACAATATTTATTGCCCCCCTACTGTGTGTCTGGCAATCTTTACTCTTCTGAATACCTGGGATATGTCCAGGAACAAAACAAAGAACGCTGCCTTGGTGGAGCTTATGTTCTAGTATAAGGGAAGAGTCAGGAAGAGAAACGTAATAAGTGAATTACAGAGCACACTAGAAGCCGATATTAATAAAAAGAGTTGGGTGAGGGGGATAAAGAATTCAGAAGATGGTGTGGCATGTGGAGGGGGGGAGTGTTGCTCAATTCTCTGAGTTCTTAGAGGATATGATTATACTGAAATCAATCCTATATTTGAATTTTCTTTTCCCACTATGAAATTCTCTGCCCCACCATTCCTTTCTACTTCTTCTTGGTCCCTCTCTTCCCTCCACCTTTTATTTTACCTTTCTCTTCATCTTTCTTCCTTTAATTTTCCCTTTCTTATTTCTCTTCCTTCCCTGTCATTCTTTTTCTCTGTGGCTCTCTTACCTTTATGTCTCTCTTACTTCCCCGGCTAACCTTCCTTTCCTTCTCCCCTCATTATTTCTATTTTTTCTCTCTCCCATTCTTTTCCTAGCTGTTTGTCATTACGTGGCTTTGTTACTGAACTCAACTTCATATGGTTTAATTAAAGTTCATGTGGCTTTTTTTACCCTGTTAAATTGTTTGCATGATAAATGCTATTCTAACTGAAACCAAGCTGTCTTTAAACTTTCTTATCTAACCTGATGCAAATGGAAAATAACTCTAATTTCACTAATTGTCACCTCATAGATCTAAGCCCCAGAGAGAGGAACCTCCACCCCCAAACATTTCTGGAACATGCAAGGATGCCTCACAAGAATGTTCATAGCAACCCTATTCATGAAAGCCAAAAACTGGAAACAGCACAAATATCCACGAACAGTAAGATGAATAAATAAGTGCTGGTAAATTCTACAATGGAATGAATACTACACAGCAGGGAGAATGAATGAATGATTGCTGTATGCAATAACATGGATGAATCTCGTGATTTTAATGTTGAGTGAAAGAGGACAGACACAAAAGGGAAAAAAGAAATAATCTTTGATTCTATTTCTATGCAGTTCAAAAAAACAGATTTTAGAAGTCAGGACAGTAATTGCCCTTTGAGGCAACGAGCTAAGAGGGAGCATGAGAGAGCTTATGTGGTTCTGGTTGCATTCTGCTTGTTGATCTGGGCACAGGCCACCCTGGTGTGCTTATTTTGTGAAATTTCTTCAAGCAGTACACTGTGATTTGTATCCTTTTTTTTTATGTATGCTGTGCCAGAATGAAAAGTTTGCTTAAAATAATAAAAAAAACCATTGCACAAAATAAACTGGAAATATTTGGATAAGAATGACAAAGTTTAACTGTGATATTTGTGAGTAATATTGTTTATTGCACTGATAAATCTACAAAAAGAAATTAGAGACAAATGGAATTGGAGCTATAAGGAATATCTTATAATGATGACTGATAAGAGCAAACTTAGAATGAAGTCTTTTTATTTATTTATTTATTTTTAGAGACAGGCTCTTGCTGTGTGGCCCAGGCTGAGCCTCTAACTCCTGGGCTCAGGGGATCCTTCTGCCTCAGCCTTCCAAGGAGCTGAGACTACAAGTGCAAGCACCACTGCTCCTGGCACATTCCCTGTTATATTTAACAGTTTTGTTCAGAAAGGACACATCTGGGTAGTTTAAAAGACAACTTTACGTTTATTTTCAAATGTGCGCGAATATTTTCAAATGCACATGATTTTATTTTTTAATTTATTAAAACTCATATACGATACTTCAATCTTATCCTTTAGGTTAAAAATATGGTGAAAGACAGCTTTAATTTCAAGTGAAATTGCCATTGACAATACAAAGCTAAAAGTATGCTTACTATTCACAAAATACATAGAAGAGACAATATTCCTACAATGTGCTTGGAAAACAAGTCACACTGTGGTCTTATATCATCACAAATTAGCCCAGAATTTACAAACTCTAACTCTGTTGTAAAACATAACTTTGGTATTTCCTTCAAAAAAGTGAGCAGTGCATATTTCCTTTATTGAACAAAGGTATTCATTCATTTTCTGCAAGACTATTACATTCACTCTTTAGAGAGATGATTTGTTGCCATTTTAAGCAGGTAGTGCTATGAAAATGAGACAACATTATAATCCTAGTTATGCTGTAACCAGATTTATAACCAGAACTCAGTATCAACCAATTTGTATGATCATTAATCATATTCTTTCTGAAATAAACACATTGTTTCTGGTTGTATTTCAGAAGGAAAACAGAGAAGCCATGCTACCTTTGGGCAAGGGTGACTACGGGACTTGAGTATGTACAAATTTTGGTAAATGCAGGGGTCCTGGAATCCATCCCTGGAGTATACCAAAGGATGATGTAGTTTTCAGTCAAGCAAGACATTCTCAATTGAGGACCTCGGTATTATTTTTCTTTAGAAATGAAATACAACTTCATTCACTCCAGTGTGAAATATATGGGAGAAGTCCCCAAAACCAAAGCCTGTGCTATATATAATACCTAGAAAATTTGTTGCCACTCAGAAAAAAAATAAAAGATATAAAAAATCGGACTTAAAATATGGATTTTTTTAAAAACCTATATGTTTTCAGTATGTACATTCCAAATGAATGTTTTTATATTGAGTTCATTTAGAATCCTTTGCTTTGTCTTTAAAAATTCACTTTAAACATAGACTACTATAGGCAGTTCAATTTTTTAAAAAAAGTGGTCAGAGTTTAAAGATTATTTACTTTACCTACTGCTAAAATTTTTGAGAAAAAATATAAATTTATTTTAATCACCATGGTTATATAAACACATCAAAAAAATTTTTATTCAAAATAGCACTGTTTTTATGTCAGATTTTAAATAGACCTTACCATCCATGCAATGGTCATTTCTATAGACTAAGATAATTAAAACTGCACTTTTAAACAAAATAATCTGTGATTTTTTAATCTCAGTTGTGATCCATGATTATCATATCAAAAAAATGATTTTTGTAAACATGAACATTTCTTTATTATTTCATTCATTTGTATCAATGTTTCTAAAATATATTGGCCTGGTTCTGTAGCTTTTAAGTAAACCATTTCCAGGATCAAAGAGATCCTAAATTCTGGTTATATGTAATAACACTTCATTATTAGGTACCAAGTAAATTTGCATTTTTAAAACTCTGACTTACTATCCCAAGTAATTTTCAAAGACTTTTATTGATAAATGCATTAATAATTTTATTTCAGCATTTACTAAATGTGAACTTACGTGGTGATCAGTGGAACTCATGGATATCCAAGTCAGTCAAAAACTGATTTTTCTTTATGATTAATTATTCCTGACTTACCTGACTCCTGACCACAGAGGCTGTTGGGTCAACACTCACTCTAACTGAACAGAGATATGCCAGTACCCACGTGAACATTATCAGCAATACTGTGATGCTGATCAGCAGCATATCATAACACCAGCTTATCCTGAACGCTGCCAAATCATCTGTGCAATTCTCAACATTTTGTACATGTTAGGGGTAAGATGTTTATTTTACAAATAGAGCTTAGAAACAGTTTTAGTGCTTCTCTTTCAATGTCTAAGGGGTTAAAACAAATGAAAGATTTATAAAAATGTAATAGAAAAAAGAATGAGTGTTTCAAGTCTGAAGAAATAGTCAATACAGAAAACGTTTGCATAGAAGGACATTAGTGGGTACGTTTTGTCTTGCAGTCCTTGCTCATAGACCTCCTGAGCCTGCTTTCAGGTTGCAAGTGTACGCATAGCCTGTGGAAGCAAGGGGAAAACAAAGTGTTGATACGACCGAATTCTCCTTAAGTCTACATTGTCTTTTTTACAAATGCTTTTATAGCACTGGCTGCTTACTGTTGTTCATCTTAGGTGTATGTCATCACAATAGAAATAGGGTAAAACTTTTTTTTTTTTTTTAATTTGAGATGGAATCTCACTCACTGTTGCCCAGGCTGGAGTGCTATGGCACGATCTCGGCTCATTGCAACCTCCACCTCTCGGGTTCAAGCAGTTCTCCTGCCTCAGTCTCCTCAGTAGCTGGGATTACAAGTACCTGCCACCATGCCCAGCTAATTTGTGTGCGTGTGTGTATTTTTAGTACAGATGGGGTTTTATCATGTTGGTCAGGCCCGTCTCAAGCTCCTGACCTCAAGCGATCCACCCCCTTGGCCTCCCAAAGTGCTGGGATTACAGGCTTGCACCACCGAGCCTGGCCCGTAATCATCATACTTTAACTGGATTTCTTTAAGAGCAATGATTACTATTTATTAAGCACTTACTATGAACAAGGCACTGCTCTTGTTACGTTACATGCATCTTTTAATTTTCACAACTCTGTGGTATTACTACTACTTTATGTAAAGATGCTAAAATGAAGACAGGATAAGTAATTTGCCCTGGGCTGCACAACCAGTGACTAGCAGAATTAGGACTAGCACCAGGTCTATCTGGCTCTAAAGTCCATGCCCTTGAGACCACTGTCCTATATTGTTTCACTATTTATAGAAACCCTCCCTGAATGATTCTTTTATGTGGCAATCAATAAATATCCTATAATATAGCAGTCTCAAGTTCTAATTTTGACATATGAGTTTTTACTTAAACTAAGGCTGCCCTATATCCATAGAGTCTTAGAGCTAGAAGGACTTCTCAGGTCAATAATAACTTTCCTGTCTCACTAAGCTGGTGGGCCAAGATGCAGGTACTGTGAGTTTCACTCAAGCAATGTATTTCCTCCACAAAAATCTCTGCCTGTCATCCTTACTGCCTGCTTTCACTACAGGGGGTTGAATGTTTTTCTATGCAACATTTTTACAAGACCTAGAAAAAGGGAGAGAAGGCAGGCTGATCAGATTTGATTATGACACCAAGTTGGGGTTAGGAGGGTAGAAAATATCCTGAATGATAGATTCAACACAAAAACTGGCCAGTGCGGTGGCTCATGCTTGTAATCCCAGCAGTCTGGGAGGTAGAGGAGGGTGGATTACTTGAGGTCAGGAGTTTGAGACCAGCCTGGCCAACATAGCAAAACTCCGTCTCTACTAAAAATACAAAAAAAAAAAAAAATTATTTGGGCATGGTGTTGGGCGCCTGTAATCCCAGCTACTTGGGAGGCTGAGGCACGGGTAAGAATCTCTTGAACCCAGGAGGCAGAGGTTGCAGTGAGCTGAGATTGTGCCACTGCACTCCAGTCCAGGTGACAGAGTAAGACTCCGTCTCAAAAAAATAGCAATAATAATACAAAACTGTGTCAGTAAACAAGAAACAACAAGATGCAATCTGGCAGAAATAGGTGCAGTTCTACATTAGTGTCAGAACCCAATTAAACAAATATAAGTAGGGAGCTCTTCTAGGCCATAGTTTGTAAGAAAATGCCTGAGTCTTTAGTTGGCCCCTGCTCAATAAAAGCCAAACTTCTAATGTTGCCATTATGAAATGAAACACTTTTTTTTTTTTTTTCTTTTTTTTTTTGAGACGGAGTTTCGCTCTTGTTACCCAGGCTGGAGTGCAGTGGCGTGATCTTGACTCACTGCAACCTCCACCTCCTGGGTTCAAGCAGTTTTCCTGCCTCAGCCTCCCGAGTAGCTGGGACTACAGGCGCGCACCACCATGCCCAGCTAATTTTTTGTATTTTTAGTAGAGAGGGGGTTTCACCATGTTGACCAGGATGGTCTCGATCTCTTGACCTCGTGAACCACCCGCCTTGGCCTCCTAAAGTGCTGGGATTATAGGCATGAGCCACTGCACCTGGCTGGCAGAAACACATTTTTAAGTTGCAGTAATAGGAATAACTTGATGAAATCAAGGTAGGTCACCGTTGAATAATCTCCATGCTGCCCTGACCACATTTAGGGTTTTGTGTCCCCATCATGATCAGAGGAGCATTGGCTGCATGTTTGTGAGGAACAGAAGGAATTAGGGGAGTCTCAACTGGAAGAAAGTCTGCTGGAGACATGAGAACTATTCTCAAATATTTGAAGGGCTGTCCAGTGGGAAGGTTTGCGTTGCTAAGGAAAGCAGATCTCAATTCCCTAGGTGGTTACTACAGAAGGGCCAAATTCAGTTTTGTAAGCACAACTAACATGCAGAGATTTCCAACCAGGTAACAAAGTCCCTTGAGAAGCTACTAGTGACCAATGTCTGGAAATATTCATATAAAAGCTGAACGAACATTCACCAAGGATGGAGTAGGAAGGATTTCTGCATGGGTTAGAATGTTAGACTGCTTGATTCTAAGAAATCTTTCAACTTTTTACAATTTTAGGATCTTCCTTCAGTGTTCACCTCTTACCCAGTGGTGAAGCTGCAAAACTGACTCAGATTTTGAGTCAATTTTGTGATACAGAGGGGCTCTTCTTGAAGGAAAGCTACAAGTTCAGGCAAGTTTCCTAGGAACAGTCTGATGCCACAAGAGCATCTGAAATACACAGAATCAGTCTAGGGTAGCGGAGTGTGTTTTTAAAGCCGTTATCAGTCACGTGAAGGAAGGTCATAGGGGTTTCTGTTTCTCACATACTATTCCTGAGGCTTATGAAGTTCCTGGCTCAGAAATTTCCTCTATTCGTCTTTTCCCTACCCCATGGCCGTAGTCTCTGGAAGAGCAGTATGCGGAGGTGTAGGTATCAAATCAGGAGCAGCGTGTTGGCTCTTGCTAGTCACTGATCATCCCCAAATGCCTGGGACAAAAGGTCCCCAAGTACTTAACATCTTCAAAGGAGAACTCTTATTTTCTATTTTTCCCTTCTACGAAGCCACCTTTTTTGCATTTAGGGGAATTATTTTCCCTGACAGTTCTTCATCAGATATCGTCACCATCTGTGTCACGCTAATTATTCAAAATGTAATCAAAATTATTTTCTTCAGAAGAAAATGATCATACCTCATCCTGGACATCAAGCTCTTCTTCAGTCAGCTCTGCTTCTATTAATTCAAGGGGATCTTTACAGTCTTGAATAAGAGTGATCTTGAAAAAGAGAACACAGGGTGGAAACGGAATAGCATCAACCCACCTGATGCCCCACTGAAAATGATTTGAAGCTTTCCTGGTGCTTCTCATCTATGTATTATACCCTTCAGAATCCTCTTCAGCTGTCTCGTTCTTTTATATTTCCCAACTAAAACTTTCCATATATCTTTTTTTTTTACACATTCAAAGGTGAACTTGTATAGTTCTCCATTGTTTAAACTCCTTTTCAGCTGTCTTCCCCAGCCTCTTGCGTGTATGCCTCTTAACAAGTCACCCCCTCTGCCTAAATGATTCAGCAGTCAATAGTGCACGTCTCAATGGCTAAGAGCACTTAGCACAGCGTTGAGTGTGCAGTGAATGCACAGTGAAGAGCTTGTGACTGATGACAACAAACAGTCCCAAATTGAATTGGATGGAAATTAATTATATTGGAGATGGAAACCAAGTTGGTTATTCAGAAAAGTTCTACGTTTTAGAGGTGGTATGTAATTTAATCTTCTACACAGAGGAAACCAACAACAATTTTGGCTTTGTGTTTTGCATGGAAAAGGACAGTTTCAAAGAAACTCCAAATACATATCCAGGCTACAATGACATTTTGAAACACTACTTAGTTACTTTTCAACTCACAAATAGTCCTATTCTCTTTGCTAGTATAAAAATGAATTAGAGGGTTAAGTCCCTGTGCAAATGGTATGACATCATGGGAAAGGTAGAGGCTAAGTGTAACTACAAGTTGGGCATGTCCTGAGATAGTCCTGTGATGGTTAAATAAAGGGACAGGAAGAGGGTTGTGCCATTGCAGTCACAGTATCTATGATACAGAGGGGCTCTTCTTGAAGGAAAGTGACACAGTTGAGGTTTATCATCATTCACCTGCCTACCAAGTATAGAGCTTTGTACTAGACCCTGAGAAAACACAGAAATATAAGCCTCTTGATCTCACAGGCCACCAGGAATATCCAACCCACTTTTGAGTGAACCAGTAAGTGTATAATATAAGCATTCTGTAATGCTCAGTCTGTTTGTTCAGGGTCAAAAAAAAAAAAAAAATCCATCCCAGCTACTCACAATGCCTCCCTGATTGCAAACAAGATTGACTCTAACCTGGTAGGTGCACTTTTGGTTAGTGGTTTTTATAACATTCATGGCCTAAGATCTTAGATAAGAATGGGTATAAACAAAGTAACTGTTTTCATGTTGAGAAAGAACTTGATATCTTGGTTCCATTTTACTTTTAATGTGGGTCTCTTAAAGATACTTCATATGATCCTGCTTTCTTGTCACCTATGGGTTAGAGAATTTTAAGTTGGATAAAAAAGATTTATGAATTTTCAACAATAAGCCGTTTTTTTCTTTAGATTTGTAGCTTCACTCCTTTTTTTCCTTTTTAGTTTTAAAGAGCCACAGCTTGGTAGTTAGGACTAGTATTTTGCCAAGGAACATTAAATCGAACAATCTCTCCACTACCAGTGGCTAAAAATAATAATATCGTTTCCTAAGTTAGTTTTTCCTCAGTCAACTGCCAATCTACAATAAGGATCTACTTATTCTATTTTTAGAAAAATGGGAAGTAATTTAAAATATCCACTATGTCACTGGAATCATTATTGTTATTATATCTTCAGAAGTATTTGCTTCAGTTTCCTAAATTCACTGTGAGAAATGAGGTTCTTGTACCACCAGACGTACCATTAGGCCAAGCCCAATGAACCAGACCAGAATGCTCACCTCTTCTGGGTATTTAACAGGAAAATTAACAAAATAACACCCATAGGAAATCAAGGCCTATTCTGGGGTCAGACACGCTACTGTTGAGCCATGAGGCCTCCCATCAGGGTGTATTCTATTTTGTAGAGAAAAATTAACCCCAGGCTTATCCGTGGCTTGATTTTTAAATTTCTTTTTCAAAGATCACTTATGGCCTGATGGATCCTGTTTAAAGACATTTATAATTCAAGTTTTCCAGATTGCTCGGAATTTAAGTGGCGTTTATATACACAAATCACAGATCACAGAAGATCCAAGATTCAGTATTCTAAAAAGGCGTTATAGCTAATGCCCACTTTTATTAATAAACCTACACATTGTAGAAGTATTAAGTACTGGGTACTAACAGGTTATTTCCTATAAACTATCTTATTTAGTCTTTGTATCTACCCAGCAAGGTTAATGTTTTTACTTCCGTTTTACTGATGAAAAAAACTGAGGCTCCAAGAAGCTATGTAGATAGGTTAAAATCCAGCACCTACACTAGATTTGGGTGATGTCTGCCATTTATAGAAATTGTGATAGTTCAGGAAAGATACATCTGTAGAAAAGTTAAATATTTACCGCTTCTAAAATGGAATCTTGACTCCCTTGAGATTTCACCTGGTACTGTAGATAGAGTATAGCATCGTGGACCGTCAAAAAGAACGTGTCCTTCCTAATGTTGTCATCAAAGAACCCGCATTGCTCCAGCTTTTCTATTACATGATCTTGAAAAGAAAGACACAATGCTTCGTTAATTTCTAGGAAAAGAAATTTTTTGTTTGTTTTTGAGACAGAGTCTCACTCTATTGCCTAGGCTGCAGTACAGCGGCACAATCATTGCTCACTGCAACCTCCACCTCCCAAGCTCAAGAGATCCCCTGACCTCGCCCTCCCAAGTAGCTAGGACTACAAGCACACCCCACTGTGCCCAGCTAAGAAAATAAATGTTTAAGCCTCAACCTATAGTAAGTTTTTGTAGCTCCTCCTTTTATTTTTTTTTTCTGATATCCAAAATATGACCCAGCTCTGAAATGACTGAGTTGTTTTTTTTTTTCTAGTAGTATATAGAATGGTTATCCCGTAACTGGTCGTAGTCAACCTTGGTGCACAGTCATGTCCCTTTGGCCAAGCTAGTGTATCCATCCTCCTGCTGCTGTGGGCCTGGCTGCTAATGTTTCACAGCTGGGCCCTTGTCTGGAGACTTTCCCTTGTCCAATGGGGGCTGTGTCATCTAAAGAGGACTGGGCCTATAATTCCAGCATTTTGAGAGGCCGAGGAGGGCAGTCACTTTGAATCCAGGAGTTCAAGACCAGTCTGGGCAATATGGTGAAACCCCATCTCTACAAAAAACTACAAAGATTAGCCAGGTATGTTTGTGTGCACCTGTAGTCTCAGGTACTCAGGAGGCTGAGGTCAGAGGATCACTTGAGCCCCAGGAGTTCAAGGTTGCAGGGAGGCACAATTGTGCCACTGCACTCCAGACTGGATGACAGTACAAGTTCCTGTCCCAAATAAATAAAGAGAACTGGGAGGTTCCATCCCCACACATGGCTGGCCTGCAGCCACTGACTGACTGATATGGGGGGAAAAGGCAGGCCCCCTTGCTTCAAGGTGGTGGTGCTCCTCCCGTAGTGGTGCTCCCTGTAAAATCGGGGATCTATGCTGGACTTCAAAAACCATGTCTTTGACTGGCTTCTTCCCCTTCCTCATCCTGCTCTTCTCACTGCTTCATAAATTTCCTCGGGTATACTCTCAATAAATCACTTGTACAAGAATCCTTATCTTGGGCTCTGCTGCTAGAAAACTCAGCCTAGGCATTAGCATTTTCCTATACACATACATTCACATGGAGACAGACACAGAGACTCATACTCTTGAGAATCCTCTTGTTCTAAGGAATCTAAGTCATCTTCAGCTCTGCTCAGGATCCTCATAACAATATCCCCCATTGTCTGTATCCCCCCCCACCACTGTCAACACACACATTTCCATGCATTACCAACTCTGTGGCACAAATTGGAAGTAATATCTTTCTGGATTCAAAAATGTTCTCAGAGTTTTTACACTTTTTCATTTTTTAAAAAAAATATACTACTAAAGGCAGGATCTTGTCATGTTGCTCAGGTTGGTCTCCAACTCCTGACCTCAAGTGATCCTCTGACCTTTGCCTCCCAAAGTGCTGGGATTACAGATGTGAACCACTATGCCCAGCCTATTTATTTATTTAAATCTTAACTCTAGCTTGGCAATTGGAGGTTATGTAAAGGCTGTTTCTAAATATGGACTTAGGAAGAAAATCAAAACAAGGCAGAAAGGAACAAGTAGGTAGGAAAGATGTGGGAAAAATTTACAAGTATGAAGAAAAAAGAAAATTGAAAAGACAGTAATTTTTTCTTTTGTATAGGAGAGAACTTTATATGGTCAAATGATAAGGAGAAAAAAAAGTAAATCTTTGTCCTAAGGTATAATGCCAATTTTAAAAAGGAAACATCGGACAAAATGAAGATTTAAGCAAATTGTAGAAAGTTTGTAGAAGATAAATATCATGAAAAAATTATGGATCAAGTTGGCTAAAATTAGAAGGGAATTATTTGTAAGTTTTTCTTAAAATTGAGCATTAGTATTAAAGCAAAAATATTAAACTGAAGCAAGGCTAAAGTTTGGGCCCATGAGTTGAAACAACAGAGTTTTCTCAGAGCATTGGTTTTCTCTTAATAGAAAATTGTGAGAGGTTTTCCTTTATCTTCTAGATAACTGACCTAGAAAACAGAGATTTCATGTTTCATCAAGGTAAGTCTTGTGCTTTGTGCCTTTGAACTCTTTTGTCACTTTGATCCTATTTTTTGACCTGTGATCCTATTTTGATCAAATGTTTTAAACATTTGGGATTTGACAAACTTCTCAAAAATCAAAATTAAGTCTTTTTGACCTTGAACTAACTGTGGGATATTCCAGAGGACCCTGGAATTTCTCAAAGAATCTGTGAAAGAGAGATGTTAACCCAACTGGCCTTATCTGTTATGTTAAATCATATGGGAAGCATTGTTAAATTAAGAAATGGTGCTTAACATTCTTTGAGCTGTATTTATATAGATACGTTATTAATATGTTCCAAAATTATATAACATTCCTAGAAATGTGATATATCTTGGTATAAATGCTACCAGTCATAATTTTGGTTATTTTATTTTTATTTACTTATTATTTTTTAAGACGGGGTTTCACCATGTTGGTCAGGCTGGTCTTGAACTCCTGACCTCAGGTGATCCGCCCCCCTTAGCCTCCGAAGTGCTGGGATTACAGGTGTGAGCCACCACGCCCGGCCATTTTGGTTAGTTTAAGTTGTTGTGTGCCACAGAAATAACCAAATATCCTGGTCAATTGGGTAACTCTCATCAGATCTTTAAGTATAGCTACTGTAAGTCCTGATGTCCACAGTTAGTTGTTTTGTTCTGATACTTTTTCTGAAAGCTCTGTGTAAGCCATTATAATTCTAAAGTGCTGTGACTTCAAAGAGTTATATGGGAAGAATGAAAAGAACTCTGACAAATACAGGTTTCTAATAACTGAGTTTATACCATTGAATGGAATTAAACTGCCAGCCAAGATCAAACAGAGCAAGAATTAATTACATGTAGGGGGATGAAGAAGAATTATGGGTTTTATGGCTTTTGTATTTGAAACATTGCTGGTTCTTTTAACGTTTGTTTTCCAGATTTACAAAAAAAAAAGATTTTTAAAGCTATCTGTAGTTTACATCATTTGGTTAAGCATACTTTTCTTTCTTTTTTTTTTTTTTTTTTTGAGATAGGGTCTCTGTCACCCAGGATGGAGTGCAGTGGCGCCATCTGTGCTCACTGCAACCTCCACTTCCCTAGCTCAGGTGATTTTCTAGCTTCAGCCTCCAAGCCCAGTTAATTTTTTGTAGTGGGTTTCGCCATATTGCCAGGCTAGACTCGAACTCTGAGCTCAAAGCAATCTACCTGCCTTGGCCTCCCAAAATGCTAGGATTACAGATGTGAGCAAGCACACCCACCCTGGTTAAGCAAACTTTCATAAACAAAAATTGAAACGTTTGCTTTTCCTCTCTACCTGAACCTTCCAGAATCTGGAAACTCTTCATGAGTATTCTTGTTTTTATGGCAATATGATTATTTACATAAAAGTTCAATAAGAATCTATTCTTTTTAATAGAATAAAATTGGAAAACATTGGTTATGTTATCAAGGCTTTGACTAGAATATCATATTTGAAAATGCACACAGAATTCCAGGCTTTAAGGACTCCTAACATTATAGTGAGTAAATAAAAAGTTGTCCCTTACTGGGAGGCCCAGTAACTTCAAGATATTAGATACATCAGGCAAAGTCTAATGTCTGCTGTGGTTTGACTTCATAGCATCAAGAAGTTTTAAAAAGTCCAATCTGATATTCCTTGTCAAAATTTCTAGCAAAGCAATTATGTTTTAGAGACATGGTCTCACTGTGCCGCCCAGGCTACAGTGCAGTGGCTACACACAGGCACCGTCATAGTGCACTGTAGCCTTGAATTCCCGGGCTCAAGCCATCCTCCCACCTTGTCCTCCCAAGTAGCTGGGAATACAGGCACGCATCACCACACCTGGCTTGGCAAAGCAAATTTAAAAGGAGTCACCCATGTAGTTATTCTTGCTATACTGTGTAAATAATCAATCAGGCCAAGTTTGAGAATAAACTTACTTTGTAAACAAATTGGTCTAATATGATTGTCTTTGATAGAAATAGAGGTGACTACAGAAAAAAAATATGGTTCAAAAGAAAAGCATAGTGTAACTGTTCTTAAATTGTAGCCCTGTTCAATGTTTATGAGTTTTTACTCTCTACCTGTAGAATGAACTGGATTCTTAATTCTTTTAGCTTTCACTGCTATCTGGCCACAACACTCCAATGAAGACCAAGAACTACTCAGTTCCTGAAGCTCTATAAGCTGAAGCTGAACAACTCAGCACACACATTTCAAGAGATGAATCTCGTGCTTAAAGTGTGGGCCACACAGAGGGTTCATCAGAACGCTGGATGCCATAACTAGAGACAATAAAACTGCAAACCAAAACAAGGAGTTGCCAACTTCATGCTGTAGCGTCTCCAAGACTGTCAGAACAAGACTCCCTATCACAAGATTCTTATTCCTTTTAATTTTCCCTTACTTGTGCCTACCTCTCTCACTTGGCAGCATACTGCTGTAGTTAAAATTTCACAGCTGGTAGCTTGTTTGGGTAACTTACACTTTCTGCTTTAATTTAAACCAGTCGTGGAATGCTAGGTTACCTGCTAACTTAACAAGGAAGAATCTGTGCTGTTGGTGACATTTCTTGTTGCACATATATAAAGACATCAGGTACTATAAAGACTTGTTGGTTAAAACAGGTAGACTCCTTGTCTGGCTATTCAATTTAATTTGGTTTGGTTCATGGGAACCCTGGCTAAGGAGCATACTATAAACCCTTGCTGTTATCTTCCTGATGGTCATAATAGCAGTCTTCCTGTACATTATACCCTCGTAAAGTTTTTAATGTTTTCATTATAGCCATCTGTCAGTCATCAAATGGTCTCTCTCTGAAACAACAAAAACTCAGAGAAACGCATGATAATGAGGAGGGCACCGTAACTATACATGACTTCCTGAGACCAGAAACCCAAAATGATGGTAACAGAGTAGCGCCGATCTCCTACATTTTGTTCACTGTCACCTAGGTGAGAGCCTGCTCAAAAGGCGTGAACTCATCCATTAAAAATGGGAAAGACCATTGTTTTACTCCCCTTGAGCTTTGCCCACCCAGAGCTTTGTGGCTCCTAGCAGCTAGAACAAAGAAGTAAAGCACCTTCGGTGGCTTGGGGACCACGCAGCTGTACCCATCCTGGGGTCATGCAAAGCACAGGCACATAGTAAAATAAAAAATAAAAATAAAAGGCCATTGTTTTAGACTAAGCTCCTGCACTAGGCCCCAACCGGCAAGACTAAAAATCAAAATGGAGTCATTCAAGCTAAAGTTTCAAGTCATCAAACCTAAACTAAGTTGTTATCTGACCTTTGAAGAAATCAGGAAAGAGGGGTAACAACAAATTTCCCAAAACAGGCCAGTTTAAATCTCCAGTTGGCATAATAATGAAGCGTCCTCTGCAATAATCCTTATATAAAAAAGTATCCTGACATGACCTCATGTTAACTAATCCATTATTTTCCTACTGTTCTGTCTCGCTGTCCCTTACTTACAAGAAAAGTAACTTTGAAAGGACTAAATACTCCTTGTTGTTTGCTTTTGCTTCCTTTAGCCTTTTCTGTCTATAAAACCGACCTCTTCCACTTAGTTCATTAAAACACTTATTCTATTTTATGGAATGAAGCATTGCCAGATTCTAGAATTGCAAATAATGACAACGGAGACCTTTAAAAGAAAAACTAAAGGCCTTCAGACATAATGTGCCCACAGTTCCAGGTAGGAGAAAGGGGCAAGTTAGGGGAAGTTAGGGTAGGTTACGGGAAAGTCTTACGGGTGGATATATAGATATATGTATTTACCTTGAAGTGATGCAAAGTACACATTCACATCAATTCTTTGGAATTCTTTGACAATCTAAAAATAAAAAGGAGAATTTGTAACAATGAATAACTTTATCTACCCATAATTCAGTAGCATTCAGTACTTGCTCAGGAGAAAAATAATTACTTTCATAGTTAATCAGGACTTTAAGGAAAGATTATTATTGCAAAACCATGGAGGTTTTCAACCTACAGTAATGGTACAAATAGGATTATAGCTCGAGACGTGGCGACATCCAGCACTCAATAACACAGCGTTTGATAGCGTGGAAGTGCTAAATGAACATTTGTAGAAAGAAGAGAGTTTAAAAGGCTTCTTAATATAGCCCCTGTTAGGCCAGGTGTGGTGGCTCATGCCTGTAATCCCAGTACTTGGGAGTCCGAGGCAGGCAGATCACCTGCAGTCAGGAATTCGAGATCAGCCTGACCAACATGGAGAAACCTCATCTCTACTAAAAATACAAAATTAGCTGGGTGTGTGGTGCATGCCTGTAGTCCCAGCTACTTGGGAGGCTGAGGCAGGAGAATCGCTTGAACCTGGGAGGCGGAGGTTGCAGTGAGCTGAGATCGCGCCATTGCACGCCATCCTAGGCGACAAGAGCAAAACTCCATCTCAAAAAAAAAAAAAAAAGCAAAATAGCCCCTACTGATTGGAGAAGAGATACAGGTGTGGCTATGCTCATCTGCTTCAAAATATAACAACTGACCTAAAAGTCAAGGCCTCTGTTTTGAATGTCCGCGTCCTGACTGTGATTTTATACTACAGTTTTACAAGTTGTTGGGAGAAACTGGGTAAGGGGTACATCGGATCTAAATAATATTCCTTACAACTACATGTGAATTTACAATTATGTCAAAATAAAATTTTAATTTTAAAAAGTCAAGACATGGTCAATAATAAGAGAATTTGAAAATTGTGGAGGAAAACAAATCAAGACCTCTGTTCAAGTATAAAATTTGGAGTCTTCTTTACCTTTCATAACTGTCATTGTAATACTTGAAAATAAATATTTGTTGTTTGGGAAATATTCTGGCATTAAATATGTTAAGACCTTCCCCAGAAGTAATTCAGTAAACCCTCCGGCCAATACAATCTACAATGGATCTCAGCCAGTTCTTAGACTGAAATGTACAACAAAGAACAAGAGTGTTTTCAAATGAGCCAATAACAAAATCTGCTAAGAGAATCAGAACAGAACCTGTCAGCATATTCTCATACTCTTTTGCCAAGCATAATCACTTCTCTACCTTACCTGCCTAGTACCCACATACTGGAATCATTTCCTGTGCTTACAGAGGTAGTGAAGAAGCCCTAGCTAAGCTGAGCCTCAGTTAGGAGTCAGGTTTATAGTATTACATCTGATTGTTGGTGGTTTGAACCTGCTTACTTTTCTGCCTGACCCTCTTGATACCTACCTGAAGCTTCACCTAAACTCGGTGCTTCAGGTGATGTCCTATTCATCTTCTTTGGAGCATTTATTACAGTTTTTATTTGTAAGATGACTTAATATTTGCCTTCTCCTCCAGACTGCTAAGTCCCATGTAGGTAGAAACTGTGTTCACCTCATCACTAATCTCTTGTGCCTGGCAGAGTGCTTAGCACTTATTAGGCATTTCACATCTATTTGTTGAAAGAATTAATGAACTTCAGCTTGCATAACTGGTTTCTGCTATTATTAACATTTCTATCCTGCATACTTCTCAGCTCTTGCTTTGACCTTCCAGATGCCTGACTTGCTCCCTAACCTCTTGATAATGCCTGGCTTTTCCAGTCCTACCATGTACCTGGTATTCCTCATCCTGTTGCTGTTAACATAACAAATAGAAATGTAATACTTAACAAACTTTTGCCCATTTTCTTTCTTCTTTTTATATTCCATGTGCTCAGAAAGATAAAACATAATAAATGTGAATTTGCTGAGGAGTATCTATGAACCAGATACTCTTCTTCTATTGATTGATTGATTGAGACAGAGTCTCGCTCTGTTGCCCAGGCTGGAGTGCAGTGGTACGATCTCAGCTTCCTGCAATCTCTGCCTCCCAGGTTCACACGATTCTTCTGCCTCCCAATCAGCTGGGACTACAGGCATGCACCACCACGCCCAGCTAATTTTGTATTTTTAGTAGAGACGGGTTTCACCATATCGGCCAAGCTGGTCTTGAACTCCTGACCTCATGATTCACCCGCCTCAGCTCCCAAAGTGCTGAGATTACAGGAGTGAGCCGCCGTGCCTGGCCGGAACCAGATACTCTTCTAAACATGTTATATCTTTTTTTTTTTTTTTTCGAAAACTCTTTGTGAGGCAGTTTTTGTTTTTTCCCAGGCTGGAGTGCAATGGCGTGATCTCGGCTCACCGCAACCTCCGCCTCCTGGGTTCAGGCAATTCTCCTGCCTCAGCCTCCTGAGTAGCTGGGACTACAGGCATGCGCCACCATGCCCAGCTAATTTTTTTTTTTGTAGTTTTAGTAGAGACAGGGTTTCACCATGTTGACTAGGATGGTCTCGATCTCTTGACCTCGTGATCCACCCGCCTCGGCCTCCCAAAGTGCTGGGATTACAGGCTTGAGCCACCGCGCCCGGCCTTAAACACGTTATATCTATTAGTTTATTTAACCCTTGTAACGACCTATAAAGGTAGATACCACTGTTACCTCCATATTACAGTTGAAGAAACCAAGATATAGACAGATTAAGCAACTTGCCCAGGGTCATACTCCTAGTAAGTGGTGAAGCTAGTGGGGTAGACAGACTACCCTAGGTAGTCTTGCTCCAGAGCCTATACTTTAAAATATTACACTTTTTTTTTACAAAGGCATTCACCTAGAAAAATTACAAAGCGCATGCATTTGCCCTGTTGCAAAACTGGACAACCCATATCATTTTACTATAGCCAAAGCTCCAAATATATAATTCAGGAAACCAGAACCTTACCACCCGCAGTGACTTCACTCCAACAATGTCCAGGAAAGATATAGCTCCACAATCAAGCACGAGGCTATGGATTGGCACTTTGGGAACGTTCACTTTGACTGGAAGCTCAGAGTTCCAATCCACTTGAATCTCTATTTCCTTGGTTGGGATATCAAGTTCCTCCGGATCTTCAACATCTTCATCAGGCTCAAAAGCATTATTTGTTGAACCAGCATCACTTACAATGCCATTCTAAACAAAGAAAACACTGTTAACTTCATTGTCAAAGATTTGAACTGCCTTTCAGCCATTCATATCGAATTATTCAAAAGTCCTAAACACTGTTCCTTGGTAAGCAAAATGTCAAGGAGATGAATTCTTAAGGGTGAGTTTCACCTCAGCCCGAATTTTGACGTTGTCTAGGAAGAAAAGTGGGAGAACAGAGGAACCAGGAAACTTTTGATTTCTGGAAGATATGGAACTTTGCCATTGGCCAGAGAGTCTGAGTACAAGTTAATAGCTCCAAAACTGTATGGATTAACTGCCTTCTATGGCGAGTATGTTTCTGGCATTGAATTTGCACTCACTTTGTTCCTTTCAGTAAAAATAAAGTATAAAAATAATGCAGATGCTGTCCTTGGTCGGGAAAAAAATCACATTCCATGTTTCCAGGCAGTGCTGCTGATTTTATTCATTCCCTTCCATTCCCTCTTGCCTATAAGAATAGCTCAGTTTTTCTTTGATACATACATATCATTTGTTCATACACATCAGGGTACTAAAGGGGATACATTTAATTTTAGACCTACTCTCATCAGGGAAAGAAAAGAATTTAAGGGGGAAAAGAAAGATGTTGTCTCACCTTTGTTGCTCTTAATTGTCCATTTTTTATGAGTTTCTGTATTTTCCTCAGTGCTTTCAGCCTCTTATTATATACTCTAATGGCATCAAATCCAACCTTTGGAAATAAATGTCAAGTTACTTAAAATGCCTGGCATCTAAAGCTTATCAATGGCAACTGTTATCTGGAAAGGCTATTTCTCAAAGGGTATAATTCCTTGAGATAGCCTGCCAAAAAAGAAATCATAAGGTCCAATGGAGGAGATCTCCCTCTACTACCAGGCTACCCTACTCCTACCCAGAAGCTCAGGGAAGACAGTAAAAGACAAAACAGAAAAAAACAAAAAACCTCTTTCATTTTAAGTCTGTGTTTTCCAAATTCCCTTGGTATCACAGAGCCCTTTTGTTATATATTCTGTGAACATTCCTCTGTGAACATTCCTCTGAAGCAGTTTGCCCTGGAACTCACTTAGAAAAACACTTAGAAAACTTAGAAACTCACTTAGAAAAACACTGATTTAGAGGCAAACTCCCAAGTTCAAAGCATAGCATGACATTCAGTACCAGAATTTTCTACTTATTTATTTCACTAGTATTTTTTGCACTTTGCTGCAACTGGGCAACCCTACCTCCAATACATATTTCCACTGTCTCTCAGCTCACACAGTTTTCAAGCACCTGACATGATTTCTTTCCTTCCGCTAACTGCCACACAAAGCCCATTAGTCCAACTAACCTGGATCTCTTCCTTCTGTGAACTCTCAACTGTCTATACTCCTTACTTGGAACTTACTCAAATTCTGCCTAGAATCATGTCTAATTTTTTGTCTGGCATAGTTATTGCTACCTGGATTTTAACATATGTGTTTTTTAAATCCCCAAATAGACTGTAAATTATTCGAAGGCAAGGATGTTATATTTTAATTCTCATTGCCCTACACAAAGGAAAGAAGTTCTAGGGTCTATTCCTGGTTGGAGCCCAATAAATACCTGTAGAATCAATGAAGTCTCAAAAGAGGTTAGAAAACAAATTTCTAGGGATAAAATACTTACCGTGGACTTGATACATTTTTTAAAACCATCGACATTGCCATAGAAAATAGGACTAGAAAATCTAAGAATCTTCACTCCTTGAGGTTCTTCAATCTGGCATTAAAAGAAATTGTCTGAGGTTAAATAATTTCAGGCCTCAGGTATTTAATTACATTTCTAGCTATTTAGCAAGAAGCCAGGTCACAGTTGCTCAGAAGAGCTGGGTTGCAGCACCCAACCTACCTTCTTTTCTTTCTTTCCTTTCTTCCTTCCTTCCTTCCTTCTTTCCTTCCTTCTTTTCTTCCTTTCCTTCTTTTCTTTTTTTTTTTTTTGATGGAGTTTTGTTCTGTTGCCCAGGCTGGAGTACAGTGCCGCAATCCTGGCTTACTACAACCTCCAGCTCCTGGGTTCAAGCGATTCTCCTGCCTCAGCCTCCCAAGTAGCTGGGATTACAGGTGCCGCCACCTGCCTGGCTAATTTTTGCATTTTTAGTAGAGATAGTTACACCACATTGGCCAGGCTAGTCTTGAACTTCTGACCTCAAGTGATTCACCTTCCTCAGCTTCCAAAGTGCTGGGATTACAAGGCATGAGCCACTGTGTCCAGCCTCAACTTTTCTTGAATAGGGGCTTCATCCCAGCTAGGAGGTAATAGGTTACAAAAACTCTTTGACCTCTATAGTCTCACAGAAGTTCAAAGTTAGAAAGGGCCTCTAAAGCAATTCATTCAATTCTCTGATTTTCAGATAAAGAAACTGAGGCTTAGAACAGTGCCATGATTTGCCTGAAGTTCATACCACTGACCCCCCTGATTTTGCTAACATTCTTTAAAAGTAGCAAAGAAAAACAGCGAAACCAAGGGGATTTGCAGAACCGAGGCCTATGACATCATCTGCTGTTCTCACCCTGATATACCATGGCCACATCCAAAATAGAACCCATGAATCATAGAATCATAGCCTTTTCTAGTCTTCAGGAAATAGCAATTTTAGTCGAGCTCCTTCAGATGAGAAAACTGAGGTCCAGAGAGGCTGAATGACTTGGGCAAAGTCTCACAAAGATGGAGTCTAGAAGTCAGAATTCCCTAACTCAGCTTAGAGTTCCCTGCCCCAAAGCCAAAGAAATCTCAATCATTTTAGCTCTTATTGGCACTTGGCTCGACATAACAGAAAGATCACAGAATAAATTAAGTAGCAGCTACTGAAATCCCAGGTTCAGTGTCCAACATTTTTTTAATGTTAAGGTAAAATTAGACTACAACTTCCTAGGGTTCACATTAATTATTATTATTATTATTGCTATTGCTATGTTTGTATTTCCTTCATTTACTTTCTCTGCTTTTTTATCTTTGTTTCACCTGTTTATCACTAAGCAATTTTATTTGCAGGTGACACAAGCCCATCAATGGGATGTTTAATTTCTTTGTTTTTCATTTCCTGTGTCATATATTATTTCTCCTAATTCCAAGGATAAAGCAAAGTGTCAAATAGTAAGGTCCTGGTCATAGAGAACTTGATCATCTCTTGTGAGAACTCAGTAAAAAAAATCTTACGGAAGAAAAGAATTATAATACAGATAAATAAAATTTTGGTTGAACATCTAGAAATAACCTAATTGCCTATTATTTTTAAATTCCTCTAACAATAGTTTTATATCAAAATGACATTCAGCTGGCCAGGTGCGGTGGCTCACGCCTGTAATCCCAACACTTTGGGAGGCCAATATGGGCAAATCACTTGGGCTCAGGAGTTTGAGACCAGCTTGTGCAACATGGTGAAACCCCATCTCTACTGAAAATACAAAAGTTAGCCAGGCCTGGGGGCACCTGCCTGTAATCCCAGTTACTCGGGAGGCTGAGGCAAGAAAGTCACTTGAACCCAGGAGGCAGAAGTTGCAGTGAGCTGAAATCATGCCACTGCACTCCAGCCTGACTGACAGAATGAGACTCCACCTAAAAAAAAGACGTTCAGCTAGCGTGGACAAAATTCATATAAACCATGGATGTCAGAAGGCACTTTGGATCAAAAGTTTTTGTGACACTCCCTGTGGGCTAACAGATTTTCCCAACAGGCAGTTCTCCCCTTGGCTACCTCGTACCTAACATGGAACTGCTGAAACTTCAGGCTAGTAAACCCAAGTCCAGCAAATGTCTCACAAAGTCACTTACGTTTTTGTAATTCTTGGTACTTTTGTAGATATCTGTGCTAGGGATGCTTCCAAGGCCATTCCAAGAAGGACTAGAAGAAAAAAAAATCAAGGTCAAGATTTTTTGGAACAGCCACATTTTGGAATAAAAAGCTAAAAACAACAGCTACTGAAGAGCGCATCATTCTGGTGTTTTGGACTCTGTCTTTACTGCAGATGACATTTTCCTGTAGCTAACTCTGAAATGAACAGCTGGTGTTTGTGTGGAATCGGCAGGGGAGGGGAGAGACTGTGCCTCTCTTCTGATGGCTGAGAGAAATAATGAGCATCATACTTGCACGTGTACCACACGTTATAGGATAAGCAAAGAGCTCTTATTTAAGCCCTGCCATAACCCTGAAAGGTCATCAGCATTATGCTGACTTGTATTGTTAAGTAAATGGGAGTTAAGAGAAATAAGAAAAGGCCTGGAGGTAAAGGGCAGCACAGCCTCTGTCTTAACCCCTGGGTCTTCCAGTGCCTGGCTCTTCTTTGTGACTTCGTCCCTTTTTATAGAAATAGGAGACTGGGAGGACCAGAAATAAGTCTATCCTGTCAACCAGACTGTGATTTCCTGTTCCTGATGCAATCAGATAAATTCCGTGATTCTTCATGTGTGACTAGAGACATGCTAAATACAATTCTTGAAGAAAGAGTATCTGTTTGGTGTACTTTCAGCATTGTGCTCTCTGGATCAGCATGATAATTTCTGGAAATTAAGTACTGTGGAGGATACAGCTTTTCATTGGCTAAAAGCCTAGATATCAAACTAGCAGCTAAAATGTGCCACTAGTTTTTTCCTGGCTTGCAGGGTTGTGCTGATTTTTAACTTAAAAGTTCATAAGCTAATCTGTCTCTGTAAAACCCTTCTTTCCCAACCGCACCCACACAAGAAAAAATAGACACAGAGGCATATACAACATAAGAGACAGCATCTTCTAAGGAGGCTTTCAGGGATGTTTCCTAGCAGCAAGTTGGGTACTTTGGGAGCTTGCAAACTTTCTCAGGCCCTTGGCCAATCATTTTGAGGGTGTTGAGGAAACACAAGCCTTTTGGGCAGGCACCAATAAGCCAAGGTAGGGAAGGAGGGCAAGAAGACCTGGCTGGTGGAACAGGAGAGGAGAGCTGATGGTAAGCTGACGACGTGCAGCTTGATGTTTTTCCAGGCGTCTTCTTCCTTCATGGCCCAAGCAGAGGCAGAGCAGGGGCCAGAAGTCTGGAAAGATGACGGACACTTTGAGGAGAAAGAGACTGTTCCCCTCCAGGCTCAGGAGGGCCCTTAACTAATGCCTCTCTAGAGTCAAACAAAACCAACCAAAAACCACCTTCAGGCCACTCACCTTCCCTCACAGGCTGTTTTCTATTATTTAAATCATGTATTTGCTGCCTTCACTCTGCATATGAGCTAATTGTTTCCTTCGCATAATTGTGTTATATGCCTTATTGGTTATATGACAGATTTGAATGAATTTTGGCTGTCATCAGCTATTTTAAAGTCCTCCTTTCTGGGTTATGTAACTTTTGGTTACTAGCATTAAAAAAAGAAAATGAACTATAATATATAGCAGCTGTCTTGTTCCAAGCATGGGGCCCAGCGCCTCACATTCTTCATCTCATTTAAAGAAGAAACTACAAAACAACCTCAGCCTTTGGCTAAGGCAGTGGAGCACATGACTAGGTGCATAGGTTCAAATCTTAGCTCTACCATGTACTAGCTATGGGATCTTAGAGATGCTTCTTACCCTTTCTGAATTTCTCTTTTCTCACCTGTAGGATGAGACTAATAAAACTGATTCATAGGCTTTTGTTGAAGATTAAATATGTCTGTAAAACACTGCATGCTTAATTCATAGAAGCACTCAATATACAGTAACTATAATGAAAGCAAGTGATTTCACTATGTTAATCAAAATGGCATAAGAAAGATCAGGGTGTGTTGTTCTATTTATAGGAAATCTGGGTTTTACGTTACTCACAACTGAACTCTCAGGACCACAGTCAATAGTCCAAATATAAGGCCAGCTAGTAAACCAAGATCCAGCCCCAGGATGATGGACACTATACATGTAAACACCCAGATAACCTAGAGAAAAAATAGAAATGAAAAGAAATATATTAATGTATCAGGTACCATAATGTGATAACTACCTGTACAAATAAGATCAATTATCCACAAACAAATTACAGCTTTTTTTTTTTTTCTTTTGAGACAGGGTCACATTCTCAGTTGCCCAGGCTGGAGTGCAGTGGCACCATCATAGCTCACTGTAGCCACCATCTTCTGGGCTCAAGTGATCCTCCTGCCTCAGTCTCCCGAGTTGCTGGGATTACCCACAGGTACATACCACACCTGGCTAATTTTTTATTTTTTATTTGTAGTAGAGACAAGGTCTCACTGTGCTACCCAGGCTGGTCTCAAATTCCTTTGCTCAAGTGATCCTCCTGCCTCCCAAAGTGCTGGGATTACAGGCCTGAGCCACTGTGCCTGGCCAAATCACAGCTTTTAAAAAATATTATGACTTCATTCATTTTATATTTAAGTGGCTGTAGAAACTGGACTTCCCAATTAAGACCAACTGTCCCATTTTATTTATTTGTAAATATTTGAACAGCTAATATATTTGCATGGTTCAGAAGGGAATTTTCATTAAAAAGGGAAAAACTCTTGCTCACAACCCTCCCCTTCTCCACCCATTCCCAACCTCCCTCCTTCTGTGTATCCACTTTTATTTCTGCCTGTGTCTGTGCTTTTCCCCAGCATTTCTATTCTGGTCTCTTTTTCACTTAACGATTTGTCTTGGAAAATTTTCCATATCAATATGTAGGAAGTCTTATCATTCTTTTTATGGTTTAAATTAGAGAGGAACTCTGAAGGATTTAGCTTCTGATTTTTAGTTTCTCAGAATAGTTGTGAAGGTTATGTTAGTCACAGTTAAAGTCAGCATGGGCTTTTACATTTTCTATTTTATTTTTGCATTATTTTGTATGTTGTTTGTCCTTCTAGGATGTTTAAACTTTTTTTTTTTTTCGTTTAGAAGGCCAAAGGTGTATGAATGAGCCTCATATGGGATTCTTGCTGGAAATCGACCTTCCCAGAGATACAGGAACAAAATGCAGTTCACATGGAAGACTTCATGGCTTTGATTTATCCACACAATTCTAATTTCTCCTCTGGGGTTCCCAAAGTGCAAGTAAGACTTAGGGGATGGGGGAATACAGGGATATGGCAGGAAGCATATAAGAACCAAATCTTATTTCAGATAAAAATGGCTGGTAGGCAACTTACAGCATCAATCTTATTCTGCCTCCACAGACGAGGAACGTCACACACCTGCATAAACATCCCTTTCAGGTTGGCAATTACAACAGCTGCCAAGACCGACTGCCAAGAGAGACAGAGAAGGCTGTGTTATTCAGGGAATGGTTTTCCATGTGATGATTTTTAAATCTCCTGTTATTTTCTCTGGTAGCAGAGTAGTGAAGGGAAATTATGCAATCGGTATGCAGAGAAGCAGGATTATACCTTCTGCAAGGGTTCCAGAAGCTTCCCCAGGGCAACAATGGCGATCATCACAATCCCAGCAGAGATGATGCCAGCAACCTGGAAAACACACACCTCCCATGAAAAGAATTCCTCCTTCTCCCTAGTGTCTTCCAGCTCACTGGATGTGAGTATGAGACAGCCTGTTCACAGGTACACTTCATACTTCCCTACCTCCCTCTTCTGCGCAATACTGTTGAGAAAAATGAGAATCATTTGCTCAAACTACAAAGCTGAACAAAAATGGCATCTATATATGCTACGGCAGAGAAGCTAAAGAAAATATGGAGACTGATCCTATGAAAGTAAAGCCAGTTTGACACGGATTTTGTTTGGAGATATTACATAGCTGGAGTTTCAGTGTCCACTCAGGAGGTCAACCTTCTAGTTATTTGCCATGTTAGGAAACATGGTGTACCCACCACTTTCCCAACAACAGAGATCATTGTCATATTCTTGGGAAATATATTTTTATGGCACAAAGCTGATTCTTCTGCATTATTGAAGGTGCAGCTATAATAGCAATTCTGATAACACTTCGTACTTGTAGCACATGGTCGCATTAAAGTCTCAGATAAAATAAATTTACTCATCCTATTGCAAATTCAGAATGCCACATTGGCACATTGAGAGGTGGGATTGTGTCTCCTGCTTCCTCTGACAGTTCCACGGAGGCAGGCTCAGAGCTTTGCCCCAAGTCAGCCTGAAACAGTGGCTACGGAGTGACGGGGCAATAGCAGGGGTAAAAGGAAGCTTCAGAAACTTTACCTTCACTGGCAAAAATAGCTCTCCTATGATCCGTAAATAGGAAAGAGGCTGAGGGGGTGGGGACTATTCTCTGGTTTGATTAGATGACCAATGAATTCTCTGTTGAGACAGCTGGGGCAGAGCCGAGGTGAAGATTAGAAGGTCTGAAACAAAGAAGAAAAGGAGACAGGGAACTAAAAGCAAAGCAATCAGAGAGGAAGCAACAGGGAAGACTGTGTGAGCACAAGTACTGCCTAGTGCAAGAAGTCTGAGTTAAGGGAGACAGACAGACACAGAAAATAGAAACAGAAAATTAGAAAACTTAATTAGAAAGCATTGGCTCCACCTGGCAAATTGATCATTTATTTTTAGATTATAGCTGGGCAGCCTGAGGCAATATGATGTGTAGGAGGTACTAAAAGACAGGCTTTGTGTGTCTGGCTCCCTTTTCTATGCTGTATTCCCACCCTAGATTCCCAGTACTGTGGTGCTCTTTCCCCTCTCCTGACTAAGTGGAGAAGCTGATATCCTCCTTCCCTCCCTTCTCTTCGCTTTCCGTCATATCCCTTCCCTTCCTCTCCCTTCTCCTTCCTTCCATTTTCTTCTTTCCTTCCTTCCTTCCTTGCATGCAATTACATAACCAGTATTTACGGAGCCGCTTGCATCTATCTCACTGTGGATACAGGGCTCTGTAAACTGGAGAAAGATATGGAGATTTGGGAACAAGGACCACAGTCAGCTGCCAAACTCATGCCAGGAGAGAGGCCACCTACTTGCCAAGTATATGTCATAATTAGCTTCCAATTATGGGGGGCCAAGGCTAATTTTGACCACTATATTAAAATCGGTGAGTGATCAATTATTTGTACTTACTTGATAAGGCTTGTTTGTGAGAAACTTGTAGACTTTGTATCTACAAGCAGATTTAGTTACTAAAAAGCTGTTCTGTCAAGGGAGGGGGCAATCAGAGCTAAAGAGTGGTTTGTAATCAGAATTACTTTTCCATGAGTCAGTAGGAGTCAGATGGGGGTGAGAGAAAGAAAAGGTTGCAATGTTTAATTCTACAATCTGTAGACTTGCTAAAAAAACACAGTTTATGTCCATCAATACTCATTCTTCCATTCACTCATTCACCAGATATATGCCAGGTGCTTCTTATGTGCCAGGCACAATATATGTATCATAGATGCTATTCTTACCTAGAGGAGTGAAAGAGTGAGCATTTACAAGCGTGTGCTAAGACTTTACATTTTCTTATTTAGTCCTCACACTATCCCTGTGAGATGGATGCAGTTATCATTCCCATTTTCTAGTTGCTGAAACTGAAGTTCCAACATAAGAGAAAACAGGAGAAGCCACACAAGAGAAGACCTGCCAGTTTATTTGTCCATGAGTCCCTGGATTGCAGTTCAGGCACTTAGACTTTTAACCCCAGAATTTAATATAGATTTCAGCAATTAAATATCAAGCCATTTCTTCACTTGTTTCATTCTTTAATGCTGAAATCCTGGCATCCTTCATTCCTAAATATAATACAAGCCAGTGTGTGGCAGGGGAAATTAGGTTACCAGAACGCTATTATCCCCCAAGCCCTCTGCCAAGGAGGTCACTTTACATGGGCATTCTTACTGGAACAGCCAACCTATGCCTCATTTGAGCCTGGAGGTAACATCCGGAGAATGGACATCAGCAGTCTGAGATCTGCCTGCACCAGGTGAAGACCACGTGCTCTGGAGAGCCTGTCAATGCTCCGTCTCAAATGAAGGCGGCAGAAACTCCTGCTGCTGACAGCTACAGCCTGAAATGCACCCAGCTTTGGAAATTGGCTCTGACCTCTTCCCCTTGACCACAGATCTCTGGCTATGCCTCTGAATATGAGCTGTATTATTTTACCTGCTCCCTCAGAGCTGGAAACATTTGCAAAAAAAAAATTAAGAAAAATTCTGAAAATAAAATTTTTTGTTGAAAAGCAGCCAAAAAACTGGAAGAGGCCAATTTTTCCAAGTCTGTCACAAGATCCATTATAAATAGGAAAGGAGCATCACATGCATATTGGGACAATTAAAGCTCTCCCTGGGCAAGTCACTGTTGGAGTCATTAGTTTTCTCAGTTATTCTCTTGTGTGTGTGTGTGTGTGTGTCTGTGTGTGTGTGTGTTTCTTCTTTTCTTGAGACAGAGTCTTGCTCTTGTCACCCAGGCTGGAGTGCAATGGCACAATCTTGGCTCACTGCAACCTCCACCTCCTAGGTTCAAGCAATTCTCCTTCCTCAGCCTCCCAAGTAGCTGGGATTACAGGCATCCACCACCATGCCTGGCTAATTTTTATATTTTTAGTAGAGAAGGGGTTGCTCCATGTTGGCCAGGTTAGTCTCGAACTCCTGACCTCAAGTGATCTGCCCACCTCAGCCTCCCAAAGTGCTGGGATTACAAGCGTGAACCACTGTGCCCAACTTATATTTATTTTGTAAGGGTCTCTGCCTTAATAAAATCCATTTGAAGACTGTGTGTGAGAGAGAGAGAGAGAGAGAGAGAGAGAGAGTGTGTGTGTGTGTGTGTGTGTGTGTGTGTGTGTGTGTCTCTTGCACTGTGTAGTTTGGGTTTCTCAATGCACCTCTTACTCCTAAATAATAGTTTTTTCTGAGTGTGGGGAAGATAAGACCCTCAAGGTGTAAGAGACAGAAGCACAATTTCTGAGTCAGTCCTTTGTGCCCATCTGCTTGGTGTGGCCTCTCTGACAGTGTCCTGCCGGAAAGAGTCACTTTTGAGCATGGCCCCTGAGTTTTCTGAACGCTCAAGGAGGGATTATCCAGAGATTAACTGGGATGCTGGCTCTTTGGTCACCTTGTAAAGGCAACAACTACAAACCACATTTAAAAGATAAGGTTAAACCCACATTTAGAACTTGAAGAACATAAATCTTAGGAAGAAATGCCAAAAATGTTACAACAAAAATATTCTTGGCCAGCAAACTGTTGTTCTATGGGACCAAAAGCCCTGGAGGCAGTTCCTGATCCTTGTAAAGGAAATGTAAATAAAGGTTTTTACTTTCCTGAAAACAGAACGAGCCCCAAAGCCATGAAACACTTTTACTAGGCCCTCTCTCCCGCCACCCCCACCAACAAATTAACAAAAATCAGCATCCTTCATTACTGTTTCCTTGACAGTTGTTATTGACCATGGAGAAGCAGGTAAGTGTAGCTACATTCCCGGTGAGCACTGACACAAAGAGATTTGAGAATCGCTGTATCAGAATACCATAAATGTTATTTTTATTTTATTTATTTTTTTTTTTGAGACGGAGTTTCGCTCTTGTTACCCAGGCTGGAGTGCAATGGCGCGATCTCGGCTCACCGCAACCTCCGCCTCCTGGGTTCAGGCAATTCTCCTGCCTCAGGCTCCTGAGTAGCTGGGATTACAGGCACGAGCCACCATGCCCAGCTAATTTTTTGTATTTTTTTAGTAGAGACGGGGTTTCACTATGTTGACCAGGATGGTCTCGATCTCTTGACCTCGTGATCCACCCGCCTCGGCCTCCCAAAGTGCTGGGATTACAGGCGTGAGCCACCGCGCCCGGCTAAATGTTATTTTTAAAGAGATTTTAGGTGAGGGAGTGGAATGAGAGGAACTGGCCTGAGGTGAATCAGATTAGGAAGCACAAGTCCCAAAGGCAGATTGTCCTGCTCAGTTCTGTATAAGCCTTCCCGGGGCACCATTCCTCAGCCTTGTTCTCGGAGATGGATATCACAAGGCTGTTGTTCCTACCTGTGTCTTTCCTCCAGTGCTCTCCTGGACTGCCGTGCGAGACAGAGCAGTGGTGGCCACAAAACAAGAGAAGAATCCTGAGAAGATGTTGCTGATCCCAAAGGCAATGAATTCCTAAGGGAGAGACTGGATGACAGTGATGCTACAAATTGAATCTTTGCAAGACCTTAGCTGGGTATTTCAGGAAGTACATTAAGAATGAAAACTCACGTGCCCACCCTGCCTGGTGGTCCAGTTTAATTTTTACCATGACAGGTACTTGGGGTCCTTGTACGACATCAGGAGTTTGGACTCCATACCACCCAAGAGAGGTCTCATTGCTCTCGATTACTTTTAAAGTTGACGAGAAATAGCACCTGATCCTTTTCTAAGTTTTTTCACTGCCTCGTGAATGAAATGTCTACAGCTCTCACATAAAGTGTTTTTCTGTAGTTGAATACTTGCTACAAAGCATATCATGACTAGCAATGCTGCTATTCTGCTTGATTACTAACCATTTAACTGTTGTCATCACTATACTGTATTTTCAGAAACGTATAGGTACAGAACTTGAAAATTTGCAAGCAGTGTGAAATCAGCTTAACTGGCAATGTATCACATGCCCATACAAACTGCCTGTATATATTAATTGCACGGTGAACCACCTTAACTTAAAGTGGTCACAACTATTATTAATAATGTTTGTTGCGCTGTTTGGTCATATTATAATTGCCATTAAAAGTAATTACCAAGAGGTACTGGGTTACATGAAGAATTCTGTTTCTGACCTAATATGTTCACTTTCAATGTTATTTATGACCTGATTGAATTAGCTCTTCTAAAATTAGTGTTATTTCAACTTATTTCTTAAAGAAGCAAAGTGATCCTGCATGCCTACTCCAAAATAATTTCTAATTAACAAGCACAGAGGAAAACCAACCCAATAAGATCTGGTGAAAGAATACAACCCCTTCTTTAGCTGACACCAAAATCTTTTCCATTTATGTTTTTTTCTTCTTTTCAGCCCTATAAAACCAATTCACAAAAGGGCACCCATACCTGGTTCCCATCGATGGCGTAATCATACTTGGTGGCATATACTTTTCCTACTGACACTGCAATAGCATAAGCCACCACGGCAATGGAAAACGATGCAGCCAGCATCTCCGAGAACAAGCTCACAGGTGGAAGTGCAGGTGGCAAAAACCTAGTGAGTTTTTAAATGAAAAATGCTGTGAAGATTTGACCACTGTTCTTTTTCCCCATCTCATCAAATGCTATATCCACTAAGTCACATATTAGACATGAAAGTACTTGTGCCACGAGAACAAACAGCACATGAAATACATGCCTGGGGGTACAGCTTTTAAACGGTTTAATCAGAAGTTGGTGTTATCTCACTGGCTTTCTTCGTCCTCGATTTTAGAGCCTACCAGTGCTCCCTCTTCTATATCTCTCACAGGAATAAATCTGCCGGTACTGATTCTTTAATACAGCCCCATCCATGCCATTTCACATGTTAGTGTTTCTCTTTCTACAATTCTATCTTAAAGGTCTTTGAATGTAAAAGAGATTCTAGCCATAATATGAGGTTTACTCTATATGAAGAGATATTGGGTCTGTTAGAGAGACAAAGAATGTATGATGCTAACAGAGCTTTTCTTAAGGAAAATCCTTTCCTTAAGGGCCATGACATTTAAAATCTTCTTAAAGCAAAAAAGATTAAATTAATGCAATTATCATAATGCTCCATAGTGACTAAAATATCTCAATGATTGTGGGGTCCAATGACTATTGTTTGACAAAATCAGAGCTACCCTACAAACCATATAAGAACATTAACCTACACGTTTACATCATGAGGTTGACCCAAATATGAAAATTTGGGAGATGGCCTTCATGTAACTATATCTTGGTGATTATCCATATGGTGTAATTCCAGAGGCCCCCAGCCATAAAGTGTCTGCCCCACCTACCTCACTTATGCCTAAAGTTTGCTTAATAAGGAAACTACATTTTCCCCTATAATTAGATAACAGTGGTAAAAATAAAATAGAAATAAGGTTTTTAGAGAAAACCATAGAGAAAGTTAAACCTAGCGAGCATCCTAGGTATTGCTGAATCTACCTCTTGTTTTGTTGATAAAGGAACTTGGACGCGAAACATGAAGTGATTTGCTTGAGGTCGGTTACTCGGTCCAGGTTGAAATGTTAAATATCAAATGATTTCTTATCTAATAAGATCTGTTTGGTTCTCTGCCCTTGAAGCCTTACTCCCTACAAATGAGGTTAATTTTCAGACTCCTTTTCTCCTTATATCCCATCCTACCCCACAAGGAGACTCTGGAATGAACCCCATCTGTAGACAGACAGGATATTGGAAACCCTGAACCAATAGGTGGGCGACTCAACATCATATCACTTGCTGGTTTGGATGTGACTTGGGACCACACTTCTCAAAGCAGGCTCCTGACTTGCTCCTGAGACCCAGTCAACCCTCCTTCAGGCCACTGGGGCTTGACAAAGTAACTTGCCAGTTCCACATACAGTTTAGTTTTGATAGCAGCCTAATGCACATTGCCTACCTGGATGCCTAGTTCTCCAAATATGACTGATCCTTGATTATCCATGGTTGCAAAGTGTAAAGTGCAAAGACGTAAGTCAAAGGACCAGAATCACTCTCAAATGACTTTGGGCATGTTACTAAAACCTACCACATCCCAGTTTTCTCAGCTGTCAAACAGGGACGATATACTCTTCTCATAGGATTCAAGGAGGAATCACTTGTATAAGTAATTAGTGTCTACACACATCGCAGGCTCTTGGTATATATTGGGGGAACCTAAGTCTGCCAAATTCCTGCCACTCATGTCTTCTGTCTTGCTGAACCCTAAGTGAAGCCCTAAACCAACTGAAGTCCTGCTGGATATCTTCTAATGAAATGTAAGTAAGTCTTTTTTCTTGCCCTGCCCTCCTTCTGTGGACACGACTCTCCAAATGTTTTGCTCAGTGAGCCTCTTTGGCCCCAGCCAACCGTATCAGGCCTGATCACGAGACAGCACTACCAAGAGCCCAGGTGAGCGTGCGAACACACACTTATCTGAAAAGATGATGGCAGGGAGAGATGGACCCTGAAGGACCAAAAATTCCACAAATGACAGCGTGATAAACAGATGCCAAGGGCATATTTTTACTTCAGATGGGGTCTGAACACTTGGCAACCACACCACCACTCCAGCTAGAGAAGAGCAGCCCTCAGAACGCAGCTGGGAAAAAACCTCTGTGGTTTTGCTGGCTTTGCCCCTGTGCCACACTTACAAGAACAACTGCAAAGCACATACTTTAAAAACAACAGTAGGCTTGAGTTTCCCAAACCAACTAAGGGAACCCAGATTAATGGGACAAGGCATGTTCTGTGGACCACCTATAACTTGATACATCCTAGGAAGCCTGACAAAAGGGCTCTATAACAGTGCCTCTAATCCCAGCACTTTGGGAAGCTGAGGCAGGAGGATCACCTGAGGTCAGGAGTTTGAGACCAGCCTGCCCAACATGGTAAAACCTCATCTCTACTAAAAATACAAAAATTAGCTGGGCGTGGTGGCATGTGCCTGTAATTCCAGCTACTTGGGAGGCTGAGGAAGGAGAATCACTTGAACCTAGGAGGTGGAGGTTGCAGTGAGCCGAGGTAGCACCACTGCACTCCAGTCTGGGTGACAGAGCGAGACTCTGTTTCAGAAAAGAGAGAAAGGAAAGATAATAACAGTAACAAACATGACAACAAGAGGACCTCTGGAACTGGAGAGGACAGGAGGTAAGAGAGTGAATAGAGATTACAATTTAGAGGACAAGCCATCAATCTTGAGTTTAAACATACACACGCACGCACACACACACATGCACACACACACACCCCACTATAACAGAAAAGGTAAAAGAGAAGCCTGGGACAGGATGAGTGAGGAACTGGACAGATTACGAGTTGCAGATAAGGACCAGTTGCATGAGAAGAAAGGCGCATGACTGCCCATCATAGTGTCTGCTGGTTAAGAAAATGCCCGGGGCAAGAGAATGAGTAAATCCTAGTGGGATGTTCAGATGCTGGCCAGACAACGAAAAGTCACATGTGTCTACCAGGAAAGGGGATGGAAGGAAGGGCATGGAACCACTGTTTTTGACTATCCAATGTGGCATTGTTATTGGGGACTGAGTGATTCCAACATATGGTCCTGACCCTCAATAGAATAAAGGGGAACTACCAGCAGTAGCCTTAATGGAGGATTGAAGCAGGGAGGAGATCAAAAGGGGGCATATGACAATCTCTCTGCCCCTCTTCCTTTCGCTGTGCTCACCTCAGCCACTTTAATACTCTGCTTGCTCCTTTCCAATCTCTCCACTCCATCCTTTCTTCTTCAGGTTTGTTAATATCATCAGAATTGTTTCTGTGCTACCAAGTGAGATTGGATAACCAAGGCCTTTGCTGTGGCTTGTTTATAATGACATAGGTTTGGGCACTTTATCCTTTCGATAAGGGTTTTCTGAGAGCCTACAGTGAGATGAGCTCTGTGCTTGGGGACAGGGCTGAACAACACAAATGAGGTCACTGCCTTCGTGGGGGAGTTTAAAGTCCCTGGGGCCAGGCAGGTTAAATTAGCTGACCAAGCTACCAGGTGGTCTGTCAAAGGATTCAGCTTCATTAAACTCAAGGGCGAGAGGCTAGAGTTCCATTCTCAGGAGGAGAGCCCAGGAAAGCTCTGCAGAAGACCTGGAAGGATAATTTAGGGCAGAAAAAATGAGTTCCCAAGCCAAGTAATGGAACACAGATGGATGGGATAGGGCCTGCTCTGTGGACCACCTATAACTTAATACATCCTAGGAAGCCTGACAAAGGGCTCTGTAAAGTGTCTTTTTCTTTAATTGTTTCTAACTCCGGAAATCATCTAATTGTTCAATTAGATTTGTTGATCCTCTCTTAAAGAGTTTCTCCAGTTTCCCTGAGGGCAAGATCACCTGAGGCACTTTTGAAAAATATGATTTCCTGAGCCCCTCCTCTGGAAAGCCTGATTCAATAGGTTTGGGGTGGGAACCAGGAATCTGTGTGAAAAAGAATCCCCATTCTTACAAAAGGGTAAGTTTGAGAAACACTATAATGGATATAGCATGTAAATTAAGTTCCATGTAGCCGGTTGTCCTTTTTCAAATATTTTGACACAGGTATTAGAAGAATCAAATGGGAATACAGCAGTTCCCTGTGGAATAAGCTCTGGGAATAAGCTTGCCTGAAGAAGTTTCTATGAAGAGCATGGAAAACAAACACTGGTACCAAGTCCCTCTGCTAATCCTAAGGGAGGGAACACTGGTACTTCTTGATTAACAGCATGTCTAGTCTTAAATGTTATAAGTGATTGTTATAAATAAACATCTGGGCTTCCTTTGTAAACCCATATAAGAAAATTATAGCACAGGGTACTTTGTCTCTTCTCTGTTTCATAAGAGATCTCACTGGTGTTCACAACAAGCTTGAGTTGAGGCTTCAGCTGTTTTCATTATCCTTGTCTTATACAGGAGAATCTCCTTAGGTCACAAAACTGCGTAGTGACAGAAATGAATGAAGGGTCTTGGTCTTTTACTCTGCTAATTCACCAAACTACCAAACATTTCTAAAACTTCCCTTGAAGATAATGCATTTTATTTATAGATATGAAGGATATAATTATTACCTAAGACTGATTAAACTAGATGGTAGAGAATTTAGGCCAGATATCCCTGATTCTTAAAGCAGATTGTTCACAGTGCAATAGATGTTACTAAGAAATGATTCTATTTATATTGTATTATAATTTTATGTATAAGTTTAAATCAGAAGTCTGGTGTTAACTGTACATGTACTGCCGTATTTTAAGAAAATGAAGATAAAACAGCATATAGGGGCTGCTTTAAACAAATGGCTTGACATTTATCTACACACATACTGTTTCTTATGGTTGTTTCTTCAAGATCACACACAAATAGGAGCATCAGTGAAAGGAAGTTTGTAATAAATGTTTCATTAAGTAAAAAGGACTGTATTAGTACTGTCTAAGAGCAACACAATACTCACCCCCTTGGGATGGATTTAACAATGCCAGCATTATAATTTTTTTCCAGGTTGGCTGCATATGAAATGGCAGTAGCAACTATCGTCTGAAATAAAACAAAAGATGTTAAAAAAAAAAAAAAAAGCTCCATTGGTTTTAATAATTCCTTGCTTGTCAACCAAATAATGCTGACTTTTCTAACTACATATTCTACTTACCACAATGACTTCTATAGGAATAGGGACTGGTATTTTGTGTCTAAATCGATCATTTAATTCCTTAACCGCCATGCAGATGACAATGGTGAGTAATCCAGCAATGAAATCAGCAAGATTGGTATCACCGATATTTTGAAAAATCTCAACCAGCGTCTATAAAAAGAAAATAATTTTATATACTTCCTGCTGCCACACACACATGCACACACACACATACACAATTCTCATACAAATCTTTCCACACAAAGAACCTTGATATCAGCATCAAACCGCACTTGAAAGTTTCAGGAAAGTGATAAAAATGTGTTGGTTGATACAGAGACCATTAGATACATACAATTGCTGCAATATATATACCAATTTTTTATGATCATTTACTTGGAAAGGAAAAACTGGGTGATTTCTACACTCTTATTTTTGCTTCTCTATATTTTTTATAATAATAAAAATGTCTTAAAAGAAAAAATGTCATTATAAACATACTGCCTTTTACTTGAAGAAAAGCTTTACAAGTGTGTATCTTGAAATGGGTTTATAGGTATTATTAAGTAGCCTGATTTTTACTATGGTGATATTATTGAGACTAAAAGCTGATAAATATGAAACTTTCAGTTGATCAGTGGTTGGGGTGTGTGTGTGTGTGTGTGTGTGTGGTGTGTGTGTGTGTGTGTGTTTCTTTCTATATTTTTTTGGTCACAATTAGCCAGTGTTTTAGGTAAAGCTCTTTCCTAAACCTGAATGATACAGATAACAACAACAAAAAAATCCTAAAATACTCCATATGTGGATACAGGTAGACTGATTCATTCTTTATGGCAAAGAAAAGTTACTGAATTGACATATAGGCCAAGCATAAATTTTTGGAAATAACTTTGGTACTTAATTTTATTTATCAAACTTGAACTAAGATAACATTAAAAAAAAAAAAAAAAAAAAAAAAAAAAAACTTTTTTTTTTGAGACAAGATCTTGCTCTGTTGCCCATGCTGGGTGCAGTGGCCTCAAACTCCTCAGCTCAAGCAGTCCTTCCACCTCACCCTCCAGAGTAGCTGGGACTATAGGCAGGCATCTATATTTATTTTATTTATTGTAGAGACTACAATAAATAGGCTATTTTATTTTTTGTAGATTTGGGGGGTGGGTCTCATTTTGTTGCCCAGACTGGTCTTGAACTGTTGGCCTCAAGAAATCCTCCCGCCCAGCCTCCCAAAGTGTTGGGGATACAGGCATGAGTCACCACGCCTGGCCAAAAAAAATCTTTAACTAGACAGATGAATCAATTCAAGAAAAACTAGTTTTGTTTTGTAAATAGGAGACTTCTGGGAATCAAGGGTGTTTCAAGGAAGTTAGCAAAGAAGAATCCCAGGGAAGAGCATTGTCTTTGTTATATTACCTTCAGTCCTGTACAAGGCATGATTTAAGAAGATATCTCTGAGACAGTTCTTTGAGACAATCTCTCAGTAAAGATAACTGTTCTTTAAATGAGACTTTTATAGACATATTTTCGTAGGAAGATAAAAGAATGGAGCATCTTATAGTTTATAACACGTATTTGACTCATTTTTACAGATAAACTACTTTTAAAATAATTATAGTGGTAATCTGGTGACAATAAATGCATGAACTAAATGAACTTTAAGTACTTAATGAAGCTGAAGTAATCTAGGAGTCGATTTGCCAGCAACCTCAACTCTCTGGAACACTTTCAAGAGTGAGGGAATGGGGGAGAAGTTATTATGCAAGCAAAATACCTCCCACCAAGCACTTGGACTAGAGTTCAGGCATTTAACTTGTAGGAAGACTCTTGAACTTTCACTCAGTGGGTACTTTTCCTCTTACTTTAAACCCAGTACTAACTATTTCACTTTGTCTGCTTTTCAGAGTCACTGAAAATTGCTAAAGGCAGATACATTGACAGAAACAAGATGAAGCCGGGGGTATAGCAGAGTGAAAAAGAAAATGAAACAACTACCACCAGAAGACACAATGAGAAGAACTTCGGGCATTTCACACAGGAGCAAACAGCCCTACCGACCCCAGAGGCTTGGAGGTTACTATTAGACACGATAACAAGAATTCAGGGCATTTCACACAGGAGCAAACAGCCCTACCGACCCCAGAGGCTTTAAGTTATCTTTGCTGTTTGGTCCTTTACATAATTAATTTTCTGATGGATGACCCTGATTAATTCATGAGCTAGGCATAATATTTTGATGAATTGTCTATTCATTAAAGGTTTGCTTTTCAACTCAAGATGCAAAAATTGAAACTTGAAAAACAAAACATTTGGAATAATTATCCCTATTGCAAAAACATTTTCACCTTACAAAAATAATCACTACAGGATTTCAGTTTAGTCGATGAGAATCACTTAGACCTTTGAATAAAAAGTATGTCTTGTGGATTAAAAATGTAATATGGGGTTCAAAAACCAAAATCAGTTTGTATTACACAATTGCATCATGCAAGGCATCTGAGTATATAAATGAGTTGCCTACATCCTGAGTAATCATTCAGAATCTTTTAAGAAGAGCTCTATGATAGAAAGTTTAATTTGTGTAGAAATAAAACTCAGCATGTAAACTGAAATGGATTATATTTAAAGACATAGAAATTAGACTCTACAAAAGCACTGAACAGTGCTTGTAATTTACTGTTAAAATACTACAAAATGTTTATAATATGGACACACATATGATTCTGTATTTCAGCTTAGTATTCTAAATAATTCAAATCATGATAATGAAATTTTTGGTAATAGATAATGTTTTACTGTAATTCCTGCTGTGTTTGGGCAATTTTAGGACAATTTCATTTAGATAATGTCTTTGTTCTTGCCCAGGATTACCTGGGTTGATGAAGCCATAAGAAATTATGCCCACTAATGTGTATGAGAAAATTTATCAGTTTACTCTTAGAGCTGAAATTTTTTTAGTTTATCTCCACAAATATCACAAACCCTTCTCAACCACCTTTTGCTATCAGGCATTTCCTGCTACCATATCTTTTGTGTATATAAGTATAGAGCAACCCTTAAACTGTTACTTTAGTATAATGGCGTAAATTTTTCACAGTGAAATAGGTGCAAAGCAACAAATCTAATCAAGTTTAGTGGTGACTTTCAAAGCTCTCACCCTTGTCTGCTGAGACAAACCACTCAAATTGAATGGTGGGAAATCAATCCTAAGTGGACTGTGGGACTTACTTAGCTAACAGTAGCTACATGGTAGCATCAAGGGTATTAACTAATTCTAAATTGCTGCCAGTACCCTGTCTTTCTCCCTTCTGCTTCCTACATCCAGTCTCTCTGGCATTTGTGAATTAACTGCTTTCTTTTTCTCCTAATATTTTCTCCCGTATTTCTTTGCATTCATGATTTCCAGTTGTCAGTACCTCTTTCGGGGAGAGGGCAAGACAAACCAAAGCACAACCTTAGAACAAAGATAAGTTAACATTCCAGGAAATGTATTTTACAACAATCTTACACTTTTTCCTGGGAGAATCCTCTACTACTCTGCGTGTATTGAAAGATTCTTTCATGTATAATTGCAATGGCAATGTCATAAGCAAAATTCTCTGTTCAAGGACTAAGTGGCTCATTCAACCCCATGCAATCATTTTCAGACCTGCTGATTCTTTTTTTTCTTTTTTTTTCAGAAGAGCAAACATATATTTATCACCACATAAAGATGATTGAAATACCTTCTCCAACTTGGCTGGCCTGTGAAGAATTTCTTGCAAAATTCTATGCTATATGCTAAACTGAGACGTCAAGAAAAATATTTAACAGGAAATAAGTTACATCATGACTGCACTTGGTTTAAAAACTATTTTTGACCTTGGTCTAGTGTTTCCTGGTCACTTTTGTCCCTGTCAAAGTAAAATCATTTGCAGAAAGTTTCTTCTTAAACATAATGCTAGGAGACCAGAAGAACTATCTCCCCTGTTCTGTGGGGGTCCTGCAATGGCCAGGGACCCAGGTCAACAATTAATTTGGGCCTCCTGTGATCTGTGTAGTTGAAGGCCGAGCCATGTTTGCACAATGAGGTTAGTATACTCAGTAAGGGATGTCTTGGTAGTTTAAGGATTCAGTGGACTTGTATAGGGAGTGAACAGTGCCTGGTACATGGTAGATATTCAGTATATGTTTACTGAATAGATAAACTGAATGAATGAGAATGAAGGAATAAATGAGTGAACATTCGATGAAGAAAATGTGAACGTAAGTAAAAGCAAGATGTGCCAGGGGCTGCAAAAGTTACAGAGCCTGTCAAAATAAGGCAGTCAGAGATCTCAAAAAGATCTAAGGATTGGCCAGGTGCAATGGCTCACACCTATAATCCCAACACAGTAGGAGGCTGCAGTAAGAGGATTGCTTGAGGTTAGGAGTTCAAGACCAGCCTAGGCAACACGGCAAAACCCATCTCTACCCCAAAAAAATCTTAAAATTTTATTTTAATGTTTAAATATGGGCTGGGCATGGTGGCTCACTCCTGTAATTCCAGCACTTTGAGAGGCCAAGGTGAGAGAATCACTTGCGCTCAGGAGTTCAAGACCAACCTGGGCAACACAGGGAGACGTCACCTCTACTAAGATTCAACAAAGAAAAAGAAAATTAGCCAGGTGTGGTGGTATACACCTGTAGTCCCAGCTACTCAGCAGGCTGGGGCGGAAGCACCGCTTGACACAGGGAGATGGAGGTTGCAGTGAGCTATAACTGAGCTATTGCAGTTCAGCCCGGGCAATGGGGCAAGCTCCTGTCTCAAAAAAAAAAAAGAAATTGATGGAAAACTGAGGACTTGACAGGAAAAATATATCAAGAATTACCAATATAATGCTGAATCAAAAAGTTTTGCTAATGTCTTCTAATAGGCTAGATCCTGAGGAAGTGAACGGTGAGCTTCATAAGGTCTATTCATATGTGATAATAATAATAAAAAACTTAGTTCTTACCATGTGCCAGATGTTAAGCTAAGTGTCTTACACATATTTTCTTTTTAAATCCTCTAAGAGGTAGCTACTATCACTACTCCTATTTCACAATTGCAGACACTAAGGCTTAGGGAAGTTGAGTATAAGCATCATGGGTAGTGGCTGGTAGAACCAAGACTCCAACTCAAGTCTGTTGAAGTTCAAAGTTGATTATCATTTTTGTTTGTTTTTGTTGTTGTTGCTGTTATTGTTGTTTGAGATGGGGTCTCACTCCCATCACCCAGGCTGGAATGCAGTGCCATGATCTTGGCTCACTGCAGCCCCAACTTCCTGAGCTCAGGTGATCCTCTCACCTCAGCGTCCCAAGTCAATGAGACTACCAGTGCGTGTCACCATGCATGGGTAATTTTTTGTATTTTTAGTAGAGACAAGGTTTTGCCATGTTGTCCAAGCTGGTCTCAAACTCATGGACTCAAGTGATCCACCCATGTCAGCCTCCCAAACTGCTGGGATTATAGGCATGAGCCACCACACCTGGCCTCATGATCTTAATCACTATGTTTTTCTGCCTCCTCTATCTATTCTCACTGCTTAGCGTAGTGCCTGGCCTATAGTAAGTACTTGGCAATATTTGTTGAATGAATGGAGTATAATAGTATGGGATTATGGCACTGTTACAAAATTGAGCAATTCCTGACAACCTCACCAATTCTCAGATATGTGTACATGGCCTTACATTGTTTTAGAAGCTAACAGGTGGGTCTTTAAAGACTCAAACTCCATTCTTAATGTGGTACGTTATTTTTGTATGGCATCGTTCCCTCCAAGCTAGGATGACATCATGTTACTATTATCACCATTTTTCAAGCATCAATAACATGCTTTATATAGAACACATTTTTAGATCCAAGACCTTTTTCAAATCTAATTAGTGTGATCTACATCCTGCTTTTGCATTTCTTTTGCATGGTGAATCATCTCTGAATCTAATGTTCCTTTTCATCTATAATTGTTGAGACATTTACATTATGCATTTTACAGACTCTCACGGTTAGAAAAAGCTTTTAGAGATACATCTCCAATCATTTCATTTCACCAATAAGAAAAGATGCCTTGAAATAAGAATTTCAAAATAACTCCTTTTTTTAGAGTACTTGTTATGTATCAGCCCCTGGGCCAAGTGCTTATCTATTCTTATTTAACAACCCAATGTGGTATATGCTATCACTAACACAATTTTGCTGAGAAGGAAACTGAGGCATGGTGATTTGCTCACATGCCTAGTAGACAGTAGAGTCAGAATTTGAACTCAGGTCCACCCAGTTCTAAACCTGAGCTTTCAGTTAGTATCCTACATGATGTATTCAGGGTCACTTACCTGTTACAGGCAAAGCTGAGGCTGGAAATCAAGTCTGTTACATTCCAGAGCAGTCTTTACTGCGTTATACCACTTTGTCTTCATTCATGTTTTTAAGTACAATAGTATTTCTGAGAGAAGCAACCAAATATTTTCAATGGCTCCCAAAGTATGCATAGAGAAATGTGGGTTCTCCAGATTCAAGTTTTGTTTTATTTTGTTTTAGTTTTGTTTTTGTTTGAGACAGGGTCTTGCTCTATCACCCAGGATGGAGTGCAGTGGGACGATCACAGCTCACTGCAGCCTCAACCTCCAGGGCTCGGGAGATCTTCCCACCTCAGCCTTCCAAGTAGCTGAGACTACAAGTGTGCCCCATCACACCTGGTGAATTTTTGGATTTTTGGATTCTTTTTTTCTTTTATATATGAGATCTCACATGTTGCCCAGGCTGGTCTCAAACTCCTGGGCTCAAGCAATTCGCCCATCATGGCCTTCCCAACTGCTGGGATTACAGATGTGAGCCACCGTGCCCAGCCCAGACTCAGAGAGAGAATGAATACAATTGTTTCTGGAATGAACAGTGACCCAGCTCTGGAGTAAGAAGCAACACTTACGTAGATAATAGAGAGAACTCCATTATAGTTTTTGGTTGAGACATTAAGGACAATCTTTAGCTGTGAGACCAGCACTTGGAAGGCAGCAGCTGTTGTGAAGCCCCCAACCAAAGGATCTGCCAAGTACCTCACTATGAATCCAATCTGCAAACCTCCAAATATCAACTAGGATAAAAAAAAGGAAACAAAAATTAAATGTTTGCCTGAGATAGGAACCAACTCTCTGGAAATATTAAATTAAGTTTAATGCCAATTAAAACACTGGTAGCCTACCTGTAGCACAAAAATATCTGTAGGAAAAAAATACGAATTTCTTAATGCCCTAATCACTCCCCTTCCTCCTCCACTCTAAAATTTGAAAACCATGAATAATAAAAACCTTGAAATATTTTTATACATGTACTCAGAAAAGCAAAAATCCATAGCTTATGCTTTCAGTCCCGTGTCTCTGCTCACCAGAACACTTTTTTTTCCTTTATGGATTCCCGTATACTTCCCTTCTCTTTTCCTCAATTGAGTCACACATGTTCTTCTGTACTTTTTTTCTGTCTCTGACTTTGATGATAAGTGAGCCTTAATAAGTGGGTTCTTGCTAACTATTTTAGCATCTGATCTAAAACAACGTAATTTAGAAAATAATTTTGGGTTCCAGGAAATTACTTTGTTTTGTTTTTAGAAGAACCTTTAAGTGTATGTGCTTTAAAGTTAATCTCAAATAAAAATTATTCCAATTTATATTTTATCTGTAAGTTCATTACCTGTATGATTCCAACCAGTAGAGTCAGGGTGCTGGCAATCAGCACTCTTGCTGTATCTCTAGCTGCAATGTCTATCACGGTAGTATTTAATACAGTTCCATTGCTGCTGGATATGAGAAAGTGTTCATCTGGGGCCATGCTCAGAACAACAGATCCCACCATTAAGCTCACCACTGGAAAAGGTCCTGGGGAAAAAAAACGTCTCTAAGAATCAGTTATTAATCACAAATGTTCAATGTGTCTACATAGGATTTAAAAGATGTGTAAAAGATTTAGCTGTGACTAGGAAAATCTGGTTTGTTCACAAAAGAAGCTAAGCCGGATACAGTGGCTCACGTCTGTAATCCCAGCACTTTGGGAGGCTGAGGTAGGAAGACCGCTTGAGCCCAGGAGTTTTAGACCAGCCTGAGCAACATAGTGAAACCCCATCTTTTCCAAAATAAGACAAAAATTATCTGGGTGTGGTGGTGCATCCCTATGATCCTAGCTCCTTGGGAAGCTGAGGTGGGAGGACTGCTTGAGTAGGGGAGGAGGAGGCTGCAGTGAGCTGAGATGACGCCATCACACTCCAGCCTAAGTGACAGAGCTAGATCCTGTGTCAACAATAACAACAACAAAAAGAAGCTTAACAAGCAGATGTCTCAAGGCATTCATGACCCAGAAATTGGCAAGAGAGACATGTAGGTAATTATTACAATACAACATTCAGGATGCTTTGTGAGTATGTCAGAAGGTCGTCTAATCTGTCTATGTGTGATCCCCATGTGTATGGGTGGTGGGGCCGAGGATGGCAGTTGTCAGGAAAGGGTTCCTGGCAAAGGTAGCACACACATTGAGTTTTTACTTATTCCACTCAACTTTCATTTCATATGATTTCATTAATTCCTAGAGTGTCCAATGTCCTGATCTCTGTGGATCTGAGAACCTTGATCAATATCACAGGGTCGAAGTTAGGATAAAAAAACAGCAAAGGGAGTATGAAGTTTCTTTTTCCTTTTGTATGATACAACATTTTTTTCATATCAATGTCAATCTGCAAGATTTTATGTTTTAAAAAATATTATTTTTTTCCAGCAACTGCTCCATTCTGTTATTTTTATCCATGATGATGATAATGATTTCTACCCTTTGATCATGGAAGCCTTTATGGTTCTGAGGTCTCAAAACCTAGCCCCAGTCACCTGGAATGTCTCAATGTATAGAATACCCAGGAGAAAATCAGCTTCCATGTTTCTCGTCTAGTCAATCATTCAATACTAATTGATTCTCTAAGGTGAGGATGCTCTTTCAGTCAATAACGACTTTCTGCTCTCCTCCTGAGGAAATACAACTAAGGACAAAAACATAGGTTGAGGATAAAATAGATGGTTGCATTTATTTCAAGAGGATCATTGAGGTAGACATGTCTAGCCAGCAGATGGATGTAGGAGCAAAATTTTCTCTAGTATAAATGTCAAAGTCACAAAATAGCATTAAAACACTCGTTTACTAGGACATTCTAACAAAAGAGAATTCAAATTTTAGGAAAAGCTGGAAAATTCATTATAAGTCATAGCAAGAAAAAATTCAAGCTTAGCTTCTAAATTGTTTTGGTAAGATCTTACCAGTCTTCTAATATTAGTGATTTTAAATCAGTATGTTCTTTAATCAAATCATAAACACGTATTTGATGAACATACTTAGTCATTTATAAGCTAATCTGGTAAAATGGTAGGTTCAAAGTCTTTGTGTCATTTTTTTCCCTGCCATTTCATATTTTGGAAGAGAATACTTTCTAAATTTGGAGTCAAATTTATCATGTTTTTAAAAATCAAAACATGCTACATGCTAAAATGTTAAGGCAGGCTGTAATTTTGTTTTTCAATATTTCCTCTTCATTATAAAAAGTTACCTAACATCATTGAACAGAAAAAGTAGACAAAACACTGAAACTCTATTTCCCTGAAAAGATTAACAAAGATAAATTAGGTTGGTGCAGAAGTAATTGTGGCTTTCGCAATTAAAAGCGTAATTGCAAAAACTGCAATCATTTTTGCATCAATATAATAGAGACATAATGCACTTAATATAGCCAAAACACTCTAAACATGAGCAAATATAATTGTAAAATATACTTATAATTACCAACTGAGATATGCCTTGATGTTCCAAAGATAAAGTATGTCAGGATAGGGAAAAAAGCCGAGTAGAGACCATATCCCACAGGAACTGCAGCTAGTAGGGCATATGCCATTCCTGAAAGCACATCCAAAGTGATTAAATTCACAAATGAAAGTTATGGTATGCAGAAAGTCCTCAACTTAAAATGATTCTACTTAGGACTTTGACTTTATGATGGTGCAAAAGCAATATACATCAGTAGAAACCATACTTTAACCATACAACCATTCTGTTTTTCACTTTCAGTACATTATTCAATGAATTACATAATATATTCAATACTTTATTATAAAATAGGCTTGTGTTAGATTATTTGCCCAACTGTGGGCTATTGTAACTGTTCTGAGCACATTTCAGGTAGGATAGGCTAAGATATGATGTTCCATAGGTTAAGTGTATTAAGAGCATTTTTGACTTAAAATATTTTCAACTTGCAATGGGTTTATTGGGACGTAATCTCATGGTAAGTAGAGGAGCATCTCTCTTTCTACTGTGCAAAGAAGGGCCTTTACACAGATACTCTCAATTTACAGTTTCAACAGATCAGCCCGTCCTGAGTTGGCCTCCTTAGGATGTAGAACGGGATCCAAATCAGCTGAAACAATGATTGCATCTACAAACATCACCTGCTCTAATGAATTGACTCAATTGATCAGTACTTCAGTCAACCCCCGATCAGATCAGTGGGAAAAACAATCAAGTCAGCCGTCGATCAAAAGCTTAGTCAGGCTGGGTGTGGTGGCCCACACCTATAATCCCAGGGCTTTGGGAGGCCACAGGCAGGAGTATCAATTGAGCCCAGGAATTTGAGACCAGCCTGGAAAACATAGCAAGACTCCATCTCTACAGTAAAATGAATGAGCCCAGCATATTGGTTCACGCCTATAGTCCTAGCTATTAAGGAGGCTGAGGCAGGAGGATTGCTTGAGCCCAGGAATTTGAGGTTACAGCGAGCTATGATCATGCCACTGCACTTCAGCCTGGGCAACAGAGCAAGATCTTGTGTCTAGAAAAGAGAAAAAAAAAAAAAATGTCTTGGTCAATTCAGTCCAAAGGCTCAGACCAGTTTTGCACGGAGGCAGTTGCATCTGAGCTCAGTGTTTCTCTGTGTTCTGAGGGTCACAGTCATTGTTGCACTGCCCTTTTTCCTTTCTTGGTGGGGCAGTAAAGTTAGATCCAAAGAAAAAATATGGCAATTACACACAGCAGCAAACAAGACAACTCTACCCTGATGAAGTTGACCAACTCCTCCACTACGCAATGCCAGCAGCCTCCGGGCCTGTGAATATCTGACTATAGAGAAATAAACATTCTAGTTTACATATGGGTTAGAAGAAGATAATGACATTCTTTTCCCTAGTTAAATACTTAGGTAGTCAGCATATCTTACTTCATTTTCCTCCTCACTCTTCACTCACTCACAATGAGAGAAAATCAAGCCTTTTGACCCTTGAGTCATTAATAAGGAATTACATTTATAGTAGTTAATAAAAATGGCAACAACCTGAATATGCTGGCCCCCTTGCACTCAATATTATTTGTCAGATGAATGTCCCCAAGTGGGGAAGTGGTTAACTAAGTTATGCTTCATACTTCGTAATTCTATGAAATGAAATTGATGTGATGCACAGAAGTACATTTACTGACGTGGAGAGATGTGAAGTAAAAGGAAATAAAGTGAGTAAAATCAAGATTCAAAACTGATAAGTATGTATGCTCCTACTTTTGTAAAAGTACACATGTATGTTGTATGCATTAAAAAATCTGGTGGTATTTTGAATATAATATGAAGTAATTCAGATATACAAGAAAGACAATGAATAATATGTCAAAAAAACTTTCATATGTCCATCATCTAACTTAAGAAATAAATTATTGCCATTGCAATGGAAACTCTCAGTGTACTCTTCCTCAATCACATCCTCTTTCCTCCCTCCAACCTCAGAAGCAACAACTATCCTTAATTTGGTGCTTATAATTTCCAGACATTTCATTATACTTTTATATAGATACATATTTATGTGTCTAGTAAGATATTTACTAAAATATTAATGGATTATCTGTATGGTAGAATCAGAGGAGACTTCTAGTTTGTGGTGGAGATATTTTTCATGTTCCTTATATGTATTTTTTAGTTTTCTACAATAAGCATTCATTCATTCAACAAGTATTGACTATGCACCTACCATGGGTCAGACACTGTTAAAACAAAGTCTCTGCCCTGGTGGAGTTTGTATTCTAGAAAAATACATTGATTAGTGCAACTGTTTTAATATATAAATTACGAAAAGGAATTGCAATAGTCAGTAGTCCCAAGAGCATGGAATAGAATAGGAAGCTGACTCCACAGAAGGAAGACAAGAAAAGAAGGAGCAGGAAATGAAAACACAGCTTGTCTATTTCATATGGACATTTTTTAAGTCCTTCCCAAACTTCATTGCCCTAAACGGGGCTCTGCAGTTCCCTTTTTTTTTTTTTTTTTTTTTTTTTTTGATGGAGTTTCACTCTTATCACCCAGGCTGGAGTACAATGGCGCGATCTCAGCTCATCGTAACATCTGCCTCCTGGGTTCAAGCAATTCTCCTGCCTCAGCCTCCTGAGTATCTGGGATTACAGGCATGCACCACTACACCTGGCTAATTTTGTATATTTAGTAGAGATGGGGTTTCTCCATGTTGGGCACGCTGGTCTTGAACTGCCAACCTCAGGTGATCCCCCCACCTCAGCCTCCCAAAGTGCTGGGATTACAGGCGTGGGCCACCACACCCAGCCTGCAGTTCTTAATATGCCTGGAAAAGGGGAACTTTTCCGTTTTCATATAGAATGTCCCGTTTAGGGACCACTACTACTCAAATATACTGTAATCATCTTTATTATAAAGAAAACTTGGTACAACAGCTTTAAAATTATACAGTTTGTGAAGAAATCTGGGGCCAGGCATGATGGCTCATGCCTGTAAACCTAGCATTTTGGGAGGCTGAGGTGGGTGGATCAGTTGAGGCCAGGAGTTTGAGACCACCCCCGCCAACATGGTAAAACGCCATCCCTACTAAAAATACAAAAATTAGCTGGGGGTGGTGGTATACGCCTGTAATTTCAGCTATGCAGGAGGTTGAGGCATGAGGATCGCTTATACCTGGGAGGTGATGGTTGCAGTGAGCCAAGATCACACCACTATACTCCAGCCTGTGTGACAGAGTAAGACTCTGTCTCAAAAAAAAAAAGAAATTAATTAAAAGAAATCTGAGCCATTGATTTAAATAATGGAAAGTCTGTGCTGGTAGTTATGATGTATAGGATGGTGACGTGTACTGATAAAGCAGGTGCTAAGAAACAGTTGAAATTTATATTAAATTTAAATTTCATCTAAAGGTAAAGCCTTCCACCATGTGAGATGTCGCAAGGAGATGGGCCCTCACCAGAAACGGAATCTGTAGGCACCTTAATGTTGCAGAAATAAATTTCTGTTGTTTAAAAAAACAAATAAATAAAAGTCCAAAGTAGAAAGCAGACAGCAGACTCTGTAAAGCTGTGAATAAAGATAGTACTACAAAGGTTGCATTGATCTACTGCCTGATGGGAATTTTTTTAACAGCAAAAATCAGAAAGCTCCCATCATCTGCAGCAATTTCCTGGCTTCCCAGTAACCTGAGCTGGTCTTGTCTGATGAGTTTTTATACTACTCGTCAGCTACTCAGCCACTGGTTACATCATGGACATGTCATCAATGGAAACTGCAACACCACCTCTGAAATCTGAATTTTGAGCCCCTCTCCAGCTACAGCCTCCAAGCCTTTCAGCTCACCTACCCCAGAATCCTTACTGCCTCATTTGTTTGTCCTCGTGAGGCTTCTAATCAATTAACAGACTCACTTTCTCCCTAGTCTCCACACCTTCCTGTCTTCACTTCCACAATTGCCCAGCGCAGATTCCGTGGAATTTTTCAAATATTCTTAACTCACTTGTTTTATTCTCTCCCTCCTTCCTTTTCTTGTCTGGCAAAACCCCAATTTGGCTGACTTCAAATATTCACCATTTCCATGACAGCCTTCGAGCAGCAAGATACACTGAACTGAAGGAATCTACAACTGGGCTAACCAATTTCATGAAAACTGTGTGATCACAAGTCCCAGACGTGCACTCAGCACTGCCTGGGGACCCAATTACATTTCCTCAGGGGGAGTGCTTTTCCTCTCCCTGAGACAACTATTCAAACCTCCCCTACTTACCTCAATCTGCCCAAATCTTTCTCCACCGGACTCAAAGTTAAAGACATATTCTGCATTTAATCAAAAACACAGAATCCATGAGATACTCCCAAGTTGCTTTTCATCAAAATTTCAAACTTGTCTGCATCTGCACCATTTGGGCTATCTTCCTTTGAAAATGGAAGAAATATCTCTCCTGCCTTTAAGGAGTAATTCCAATTCTGTTCTCAAACCCATCCACACTTGCCCCTTTTTACTACTTTGCTTCTAGTTATTTCTCCTGTGCTTCTTGCACCACAGATCTCTTTCTTTCCACTAGGTTATTCCTATCAGTTCACAAATATGTTCTAGCATCTCACATATTAAGAAAAACAAATTCTCCCTTCACTCTACCTTTGTCTTATCTCCCTTCAATTCACGGCAAAACTTCTTAAAAGCAATCTGTAATCCTTCATCATATGCCACCGCTCAGGCATATTCAAGACTGTCAGCCCCTCTATGCCTTGCTTTTTTGTTTTTTTGTTTTGTTTTGTTTTTAAACCTTCTCTCTTGGCTTCTGACCCCACATTCCTTTGGTTGTTCTTTGTCTTCAACTTCCTGGGTCCAGCTTTCTCAGGTTCTTGGCTGGCTCCCTCTTCGCCTTCCTAACCTCTAAGTACTCTGGCTCTCTTCTCTTCCACACCTGCCCTTTCTTCCTAGGTAATCACAGGCATTCCCACTCTTATAAATATCACCTCTTCAGCGATACTTTCCTGATTTTTACGTCTAGCCTAGACCTCCCCTCTGACCTTCACACTTGCAGTTGCTCCCACTTGCCTTTTTGGCATCTCCATTTAGATGTCTTACCTGCATCTCAAACTTAGCAGATCCAAAAGGAAACTTGATTTCCTATACGAAACCTGCTCCTCAGCCTGTCTTTGCCATTTAGATAAATGATGTAACATCTACCTGGTTGCTCAAGCCAACAACCCTGGAGGCATCTGTGATTTTCATCGACACTTATCAGCATGCATCAGTGATTCTTGCTGCACAATATAGTCCAGATCTTGCAGCTCTCTTCATAGCCTGCCTCTTCTGGTTCAAGCTGACACACCTGTTCTTCCTTTAATTCATAGCAATATCCCCACAGGGCTAGGAACAGGGTGAGGCAGGTGAGGTGCCTATGGCACAGTAAAGAGGCATACTGAGAGTCAGTGCCTCACTTACGTCACCCTAATCCCAGTCCTGGCTCAATTTATTTCATGGTTTACCCACCCTCCCCCACTGCTCTCACCATACTACAATTCTTCCTTTTCCTCCCTGGAAAATACTGTTTTCTGGTATCAGGGCCTTTGCACCTTTACGTGGTACACTTTTTTTTCTGAATATCACATGGCTGTCTCCTTCTTATCCTCTGGTCTTTGACTAAATTTCACCTTCTCAGTAAGGTCTTTCTTGACCACTGTATTTAAAATAGACCTCCCTTCCTGGCTGGGTGCGGTGGCTCACACCTGTAATCCCAGAACTTTGGGAGGCAGAAGAGGCAAGTCACTTGAGCCTAGGAGTTCCAGACCAGCCTGGGCAACATGGTGAAACCCTGTCTCTATAAAAATACAAAAATTAGCCAAGCATGGTGGCACATGCCTGTAGTTCCAGCTACTGAGGAGGCTGGGATGGGAGGTTCACCTGGGCCCAGGAGGCCAAGAATGCAGTGAGCTGTGATCTCACCACTGCACTCCAGCCTGGGCAACAGAGTGAGACCCTGTCTCACAAAAATACAAAAATAAAAATAAAGACCTGCCTTTCAAATTAATCTGCATTACAGCATATTTAATCCACCACAATAGATATTGCAATCTACAATCATTTTTCTATTTATCTTCTTATTTAATTCCCATCCCTATCCTTTAAAATAATTTTTAGAAGCTCCATGAAGTCAGCACCTGTGCCTGTTAATGAGCCACTGAATCCACATGGCTGGATACCTGGCCTACAGATCTAGTTTATAAATATGTATTAAGTGAATGAATGATAAATGAATGTATAAGTGAGCCAGATTAACCTCCCAGAAATTCACCTTACACAGATAACTTATAGAGATGTTTCTAGAAACATATATTACCCATAAAGTAAGGAACTACACAATAGACACTGGATTAAAATCACAACTCTACCACTTACCAGCTACATGGCCTTGGGCAAGATTTAATAGATTTCTCCCCTATTGAAAATGAAATAATAGTAGACTTACCTAGCAGGATTGTTATGAGAATTAAATGAGATAACTGGCAACATTCTTACTTAGCACAGTGTCTGATGATACTTATAAACAAAATGAATTCTTATAAGATACTTGTCTATGAAAACTGGGGAGACATGGAGCCATTTTTATACATAAAGAGGATTCATTATCAGGAATGCAATTCAATCATTTTCACTAAATATACCATCTATTATGTGCCAGTCTCTGTGCTAGCCACCTGCTGAACAAACATGAATTAGGCATGGTTCCTGTCCCCCAGAAGTCACAGGGTATTGCCATGTCACATTCCTTAGAGCACAATGTGAATACTTGGCACTGTTAACTTATGAACCTCACAGCCCATCCTACTCTCTCTCATCCACCTTTGTTACTAAGAACGTGCTTGATCAGGCTGAGACTCCACCCTATGTTCACAGGACATCCTCCTTCTCTGTGGGCATCTACCTGGCTTGATCCGAGCAATCTTGAGAGATCCACAGCCAAATTTTAGCTCACAATATTGCTCTACATTCATTACTGGCTTCTGAAATAGTGTATTTTCAAGCCATCCCCACCTCACCCTACTTCCCATCACTTAACAAACTCAGACTTAGCCATCAGGGAAACTCAGCTTTGACATTCAACTTCCAAAAAGCCATTCCTGACCCCCTAAGACTGGTTTGAGTGCACCTCATTTGCATTCCCTTAGCAAGCAACATTAACCCTGCCACAGCCCTTATAACAGTGAATTGTTATCTCTTTCTCTATTGGACTATGAGTTCCTTGGAAGCAGATGATGCAGTTTATTTATGTCAGCATACCTAGTGCCTAGAACACAATAGGTGTTTCACAAAATTATAATAAATAAGAAGATTTTTGTTTTCATGATTCAGAGTCTTTGAGAAATTGGTCAGGGTGTTGGGAGTGGGGCAGAAATGAGATGGTGGGGATGGGGGACAGAGGAGAATGCCACAATGCTACGCACTGACTATACAACAAATTTCTAAGATGTTTATGGGAATATTATAGTATGAACTCAGTTTATAAAACAATAAATAACCACCTATGTTGGTACATTTTCCCAGAAGATTAAAATAAGAGGATTTTTTTTTTTTTAAAGGGACGAGGGGCAGACAAAACACTCATGTGGAGTCCAGGCTAAAAAGCTTCCTTCACTTTTCTGTAAACCGGTTTCAAACTGCACCTCAAGATCCATGTGAGGGAGGCTGAGTGTGGTGGCTCATGCCTGTAATCCCAGTACTTTGGGATGCCAAGGCAGGTGGCTCACTTGAGATTAGGAGTTCCAGATCACCCTGGCCAACATGAAGAAACCCCATCGCTACTAAAAATACAAAAATTAGCTTGACATGGTGGAACATGCCTGTAGTCCTAGCTATTTAGAAGGATGAGGCACAAGAATCTCTTGAACCCAAGAGACAGAGGTTGCAATGAGCCAAGATCGCGCCACTGCACGCCAGCCTGGGTAACAGAGCAAGACTCCGTATCTAAAAAGAAAAACAAAACAAAACAAACAAAAAAGGTCCGTGGGTGGATATAAAATAATTTAATGTGCTGCAATCATCATTTTAAAAACCTAAGTATAATAGAATAGAACAAAGTGAAAAATTATCATATTGTAATGATAAGTATTTCACAGAAAATTTAGATACATATGCACAGACCATGATGTAACACATATTTCTTTTTTTAAAAAAATCGAGAAGCCACTGTTTAGTATATGTCTCTGAATTGGAGTCCCGCAGCTAGTGGGGCAGCAACTTCCCAAGAAGATAACTCTAAGGAAGAGGAGAAAAGAGGTGACTCTCTCCACTTAGGGGCTCTTCAGGAAAGATAAAGGCCTTGAAGGGTAGGTAAACATCTGTCACAGACCTATGGTAGCTGGGGAGAAGTGTTAAACTCCTGCTGGAGACCAGAACTCTCTATCACTCAAGAACCAATCCACCAACATCTTACCTTGCAGGGTGCCCACTAGCCCAGTACTAACTCCAGAAATAATGTCACTTAGCAGCCATTCCTTGACTCGGTATTTGGGGAGCCATTCCAAGATGGGCAGAAGAGTCTTTAGCACACCAAAGGCTCTCTTTCTTGAACAACTGTCAAAAAGCAAGAAAACTGGGTTTTCAATCCAATCTCAGTCACAACCAATTTGCAAATCACAAAGTTATGAACCGAATTCTGCTGTTTATAACTAAAGAAAACAATAAGAATTTCATGGAAAATAACCCTGAAGTGCTTACCATGCTTTTGCCAAGAACTGTATCTATCCTTTTAAATGCACTGTTCTAGAAAACACAGGATTAAGTGTCCCACCCCTCGCTCACTTTTTAATCCTCTGAGAAAATATTCCTACACAAAAACCTATTTTCTGGTCCAGCCAGAGACTGATGGATGTGGAGTCTCTAAATGGAGATTAATTTTCAGACTCCTAACCCAGGCGCCTTATTATGATTATTTTCTTTAAAGAAAATAAACACACTGAGTATAATTTGGCAATAGAAGTCTGGAGCTAGTTTTTACAAAAATCTTAGCATGATTAACGAATAGCTTGTATCTTGCTACATAGTAGTTTTTAAATTCAATAACCTATAGATTAAAGAAAAATATCAAAAGTAGGTGACTGTTATATAACTCCTGATTTGAATAAATTTTTTAAATTATGGCATTTATGGGATGATTGGACATTTTAACAATGACTCAATTTTTAATATTAAGGAGTTATTTTAGATATCAAGGTGTGATAATGAAATGTGGTTATATTTTTAAGAGTCTTTAGAGATACACAATAAATGGGATTTGCTTAAAAATAATACTGGAGGGGGCAAGTAGATGTCCATATAAGAAACAAGATAAACTTTGAGTTGTTCACTGTTGAGGCTGAGTGATGGGTAAAAACGGAGGGGGGAGTTCTTTACTTGTCTGCTTGTGCATGTATTTGAAATGTTCTGCAATGAAAGGTTTTAGAAACTAATTTCTTTATGTTTGTGATATCTCGTTAAGGCACATTTGGGTTTAGAGACTGAGGGTGGCTCTCCCTAGGGGTCCCAGCGCCTGCTGGTGAAGTACTCCGCACACCCTGCGCTCCGCTGGGCGCTAGCTTGCATTGTGGCCTCTAACTGAATGGTAGCCCGCCTACTTAGCTTGAGGGTTTCAAGGACTCCTCCTGGTCAAGAGCTGGGTTCCCCTATTCATTTCATTTAAACGATCTCCTTTCATTCCCTTTTCCTCAAGCTGGCCCTCCCATGAAGTCAGCAAGGACCCACTGTACCCCAAAGGGCGCTCCAGGTTTCCTTCAGAGAGGAAAAGGAGAGATGGGGCCCCCTGATGCCACAGTCGCCAAAGGTGAGTTTCCCAAATAAGTTCATTTCGGGCCCGAGACTGATGGAGCCACTCTCCGACCAGAAGGGCGGCGTGGAGGACCAGAGACCTAAAGTCGGGCCTCTAGGAGAAGCGGCTGGCGCCCAGGGGATCTGCAGCCCGCAGCCCACGCTCGCCGGCAGGGCACGCCCTCCCCGCCCCAAGCCGCGGACGCGCGGCTCAGCTTCTCCCCGGGCGGGCCCGCGCGGCCGCTACCTGCAGCACTTGGCCAGGCTCTCCCGCAGCGTCTTGCGCTCCTGCAGGCGCCGCTCGTGCTGTTGCTGGAAAGCGAGCTCGCTGTAGACCGGCCGCGACACCACGTAGCTGCAGCGGTACTCCGGGAGCTGCGGAGGCTCCGACCTGCTGCCCGGCGCTGCCATGGCCTGAGAGCCGGAGGACGGCGAGGAGGAAGGAGATGCGGTGAGGGAGGACCATCAGAGGTGAAGGGCGAGGAACAGAAAGAAGGGGGTCACCTGTTAGCTGCCGCCCGACCCCCCCCCCAGCTGCAGTTCAACACCCTGAGTCTGGTCCGCGCCCTGCAGCCCTCGGCGCCCACAACAAGCGCCCCACGGCGCGCACGGCCAGCCTGCAGGGGGCCACCTGAGGACCTTCGGGTCCCGCGGCCTGCACCCGCTGCCCGGGGCTCCCCAAACTTGAAGACAGTGAGCCCTGCTTTGGGGGCTTCCCGAGCTCCACCCAGTCCCCTCTGGCCTGCAGCCCCGGTGCTGTCCGCGTCCTGAAATCTCCCCCAAACCTAGGGGCTGGAGCAGGGCCCAAGGGCGCGTGCAAGGCTGGAAGGGAACACTGAGCATCCCTCCCTCCCCGCACCTGAGCCGGGATGCAGCTCCAGGCGCGCACTGGGAGAGAGGAGCAGGCCCCCGGGCCAAGCGTGGAACCCTCAGGGCGCGTTCCCCGGGTCCCCAGGCCGCGGGCGCTGCAGGTACATTCAAGCTGCGGTCGCAGCCCTCCCGGGGGCAGAACTTTCAGCGTGTTGAGCAAGTCTCTCCCCACGTCCTGTTTTCCGATCCGCCTTCTCGCTCTAGGCGTCTCACAAAGAAGGCTGTACTGCCCCCTGCCCGCCTGCTTCGAGTCCCCTCACGAGTCCCAACCTCAACCCTAGAGGCCTCCCCGGGAGGGGAGCCCGGGCCGGGTGTGGGCATCTTCAGGGTGAACTCACCTGTCTCTGCTCGCGCCCCTCCTGGAATGCCCCGGGGACGCCCGTTCCGCTGCCTTTATAGCGCTCTCAGACGGCAGAGAGACGTTTTATTTATGGAGCAACAGAGACACTTTGGTCGAAGGGAAAGACACACGGGCTGCGGTGTTTCTCAACTGATGCTATCAGGAAAGAAATCCTACCCCTCCTGCATTCCTTCCCTTTCCCGAACCAGGAAGGCTGAGAATCTTACTGGCTGCCACGTAGGGGCCACCCGGATCCTCATTCATCCCTGGTTACTAACCTGGCGGGCTGCGAGGTCAGGGGCGGGCCAGGCCCTGTGGGACTCCTTAGGGGAGAACAGAGCCGGACGTAGAGCAAGAGGTCCGCGGTCTCTGGGATTGCTAACCTTGACTCCTAGGTTGTGTGATTCAGGGAACTCCACAGCCTGCCACAGGTGCTCTCATCCAGATGAGGAGGAGAAGAGGAACAGTGTCCAGGTTTCCATATCAATAAACCCTTGAATTTCTAGAAAGTTTTTTTAGGAGTATTTAATAGGTGGAGTATTTAATTAGGAGTATTTAATCGGTGGAATATTTAATTAGGAGTATTTAATATGTGGAGGATATAGAGAGTTCACGATTTACTCAGAGTTTAGCTCCATATTCTATGGGTGCATGTGTGTGTGTTTTATTTCACAATCCAAATCCAGCGTCCAGGTGACCCTTTCTTACCCGCTAGACTGTTTTTTTCTTTTGTCTCATTCTCCTGGACAATCAGGAGTCTAGGACTACATGGAAATCAAGACTAGAAGAGAAGGAGGAGGAGCTGGAGCTAGCCTACCTCATCAGTGTTTTGTCTTCTGTCGGGATAAATTTTGCTAAAACTAATGCCAAAAACCTTCCTTAGCAAAAAGGAAGGGTTTGATAAATCAGAACATTCTCACCTGATTATCAGTGTTCTGTGTTCTGACGTAAATCCAGAAGAGGCTCCGAAATACAGACCTGTGTACGTCAACCTTCTGTTACCTTGAATATACAGATCATGACAATTCTACGAGCTCCTGGAAACAGAACTGGTCACCAGAGAACCTTGATGCAAATCCCCTGGTATTGTAGAAAGCATGTACATTTCCTGGAAGTGAATGAGTCAACAGCTTTCAACAGATCTTCAAAGGCTTACTTGACCTAATGAAGTTAAGAACCACTGAAGAAGAAACCTAAAAGGAAAATCCAGGTCATGAACTTTGTAATTTTTATTCACATATAGAGAAGAGGGGAGGAATCTCTTGCGTATGTTTTACTTATGCATACCAGTGGTTCTTAATAAAGGGCTTTCTTGCCCCCAGAGGTCAATACCTGGAGGTGTTTTTGGTTGTCACACCTACGAGTATGCTATTGGAATCTAGCGAGTAGAGGCCAGGGATGCTGCTAAACATCCCACAATGAAGTTTGCTATCACTCTAAGGTGTTGCAAGCAATTTAAACTCTACATTTATTAATAAATTGCTGCATGTACTAAAATATGTATCTCTCCATATATGTATATATATATATGTGTGTGTATTTTTTCATTATTGTTGGATGTATAGCTCAACTCCACTAAACAGAGGAAAGTATTTGTTTTAAAGTAGATTCTGAATATACTCACTCTATATATCCTCATCCACACCTTCAAGATCTGGTGAAAACACTATGTCTTCCATGAACGTTCTTCGATGCTATAGGTCAGAATTAATTCAGTCCTTTTTCTGAATTCTCTTAATACCTCATCTGATCCTCTCTTAAGTTACCTCTCACTAACTACTTTAGTATCCCAATTTTGTTTACATACAAGTCCTATCTCTGTCACTAGACAATCACTGCTTGAGGGCAAGCACCATCTCCTTTCAACCATGATTATCTTCTGTTTTTTGAACAGATTTATCTACAGCCCAAACATACCTTTAAAAAAACTAAAAATTACATATTTGATCTACAACTTTGTTATCTCAATTAAGACCATGCTATGGATATTTTTGCAAATGAGCACATAAGAATTTTTTCTGAAGTTTGGGGATGGCTATCTAGGATTCCAGAATATCAACTTGTATTCATAGCTCCATGGTAACTCACCTACATAACTCACAACTCTTGGCTGAATTAAGTTAGAAGGCATTCTGTACAAATATAAATATATTCCATATCCCACTCTAGTATGGATTTCTGCTCCCTGTTACTTGCTGTTTGAACACTTTCAGCCTGGTCCAGTCAGGCCTGTGAGCCACTTTGCATCAGAACTTGGCAACGGTTTGCTGGTTCAGAGAGTGGGGTAAGGCTGGTGAAGGACAGAGGAGAAAAGACTTGAATAGCAACAGGAGGCAAAAGAGTAACTTCCCTTGGCTAATAGAATTCTTCTTTGAAATGTGTCTCTCTGTATAAGAGTTTGGTTCAATAATCACACTATAAGTCCTGCATGTGTCTGGATGAAGATAATTGCTTTTTTCTGTTGAATCCTTATCCTATAGCAGAAATACCTGGGATAGAACAGAACGGTATCTCTGTTAAGGATTCTATAAGGGTATAGAACTGCTTTTCTTATAGGTAAAAGGCAGAGTGTTTGAAGTTGGCTGTTTTAAAAACAGAAGAATAGGAGGAAATAACAGCTTGTTCTCCCCACCCAATTTAATTGTGATTTTAAACACCTCGGATTACTCACTTGGGCTTTACAAGTCAACCTTCACCTGCTTCACACAGAGGTGGGTGGTTCTTAACAGATTTTAAACATATTCAGGACTTCTTTCCAAAGAGATAGATGCATCACTTAAAAATAAATGTCAGACAATATTATTGTTGCTTTACAGTACTTATTTAGCAGTTAATACTTATTTAAAAGGCATTTCTTATTTATCATTTAGGCATTTGCAGTGTAAGACAAATCTCTTATTTGATTATGTATTCACCTGCTCATTTATTTATTTATTCATTCATTCATTGATTCAAGGATTTATTAGAAAATTATTTGTGCTGGCCATGGGTACAATGATGAACAAAAGCTTGTATCCTAGCCTCATATTTGTGGGTGCAGTAGATATTCATCAAATAGTCACAAAATGCAGATCTTATTTCACTGATTATAAAATACACATTTTATCAAGATTCATGTTACAATTGATGATCCACTATATAATACAGTTTAATTGGTAGCATATTTTGTGATTCATAAAATAATTATGTTTTACAATAGCATTCTATAATTAATAAAATATAGATATTTACATAAATTTATAGTATATCTATGCCTTTTTTTGTCTTTTTTAGAGACAGATTTTGCTATTTTGCCCAGGCTGGATTTGAACTCCCAGCCTCCAGAATAGCTGGGACTACAGGTGCACACCACCACACCCAGCAGAGTATCTATGCTTTTGAGTGACTACGTGTGCTACAAGAATTATTTAATTGAGTCCTTCCTTTATTTAACTTAAGAGCAGTCAATCTTGCTACATTATTTTTGTCTGAGAACAAATATTGTGATATAAATTTTTTCTTTTTTTTTATAACATAAAATGTTCTCTAATCAGAAGAATTGCAGAAGAATGTTACCATGTTGGCTGGGCACTGTGGCTCACAGTGTAATCCCAATAATTTGGGAAACTGAGGCAGAAGGCTCACTTGTGCCAGGCCTAATCCTAAGCTTTTATTTCCATTATGCATGTTAACTTTCTCAAGATAGCAGGTGCTAAATTTTTGCCATTATTTATACAAAAAGAGAACTGAACTGAACTTTCTTTCAATATTTCTGATCTCTCCTTCTCTGAACGACTTATTGGATTTATACTCAGTAATTGTACAGTTTTGCACTCAATTGTTTTCTTGTTTTTCTTTTTTTTTTTGTTATTTTTATTTTGCACTCAATTGTTTTCTATTTGTTTACTGTATGCTACTTTATTTTCTTCTCCAGTTATAAGATATGCTCCTTAAGGGCATAAATATGTTTTCTATGGTATTACAAAAATAAGATGTGCCTATAGTAAGTAATCTGGAAACCGCATTAATGTATAAAATAGTAATCACATTATCTCCTTATCCAGATAATCACTAAGCGTTTTGCTTATTTTTTAATTTATTCTTTCTATGCAGACATAGGTATACATTTTTATTAAGTAAGATTATAATGCTAGTCTCTTTTTATTTCTCTACACAATACCTTGACAAATTATGACAATATAATAGTTTTTATTTATCCATGCCAACCGCACTTGGCCTGGATGTTTTCTTTCTTTTTTCTTTTTTTTTTAGAGATGGTCTCACCTCAGCCCCCAAAGTAGCTGTGATTACAGGCCTGTTGCCACTATGTCGAGCCAATAAAGGCACACCGGACTTATTAAATTATTGATCAATTGATTGTTTAATAATGGAATTTTGAGAAATCATTGAGTAGAAATAAAACTAGTTTTAAAAGAAGAGAATCCAACCCTTAAAACATCAAAAAAAAAATGAATTATTTGTAAACATTATGTGGCAATCCATTTGATTT